CACGTACGTACGGAATACACGCTTTCACTGGCGAGTTACAGCATTTTAAAATTTTTGTTTTCGTTGTTTGTTAAGCAAAATTTCTGAAATCGAAAAACTGCGACCACTAAGCTGAAGTTTATGCTTGTATGCATCGTTTAACGTCAAATTTCTTTCACAGGCTTTAGTAATAGAGGTTTTTGTAACCGTGTGAAAATTTTGGACAGCTGATGCTGCCAACCATTGTGGGGTTATTGTGTGCGGTGGTCACTGCGGTGAGCAGTTATTTCGGCCATTTTGAAATACGAAAGACTCATGTTTGAAAACGCTAATATTTACTGCGGTCGAAAATAATTCTTTTTAGCAAAAGGACTATAACCGGTTATTTCATCACCTTTAGATGAAATTCTACCCGTTTGCACCCCTCTTGCTAGAAAAAAAAGCCATGACGGACTCATAAACACTTCCATAGTGTACGTCGTTGCTTTCAGTGCTCAGAACATCGAAATATTCCGATTTAAACTCAAAATGTGCGCGCAATAACCGGCTCCTGTAAAATCACTCAGACGGGTCAAAAAGTTTAAAAACTCAGACGGGTCAAATAACTCAGCTATCTGCCCAAACTTCGTGAAACGTTCCAGTATGGTACACCTATGTATGTAGTACATTCAGAACCAATATGATTAAGTTGACTTAAAAAACACAGATGCAGCGATTTTTCAAATAGTAATTGAAACTCGTATAATTCGGTGAATTTACTTCGGACAATCTTTATTTTGGTTCAGAATGTGTATGGGAAGCCGCCGGGTGCAGTTTTATCTAGCGTCTGCATTACTCTGTTACTAGTCGTTTCCGATACTTTATGGCAAGCATTTTAGGCAGGGAATTACGCCGGTTGAGCAAATGTTTTCTGGAGCAGGAGATTGTGTGACGCATGCTCTTCCACAGCTTCGTATTGCCAGAAGCTGATCCCTCACTGATTTATGCAGGCCACCTTCTTCGTCGGGCCTGGTTAGCTAGGATTGCCAGCCTTTTGTTGTGTGATGTGTTACAGCAGAAATAGCACTACATTTCACAACCCTGTGAGTGGAAATATTATAACCTGGGACTGAGAATGGGGAATAGTACTGGGAATTGGCACGGTACATGGTATTGTGCGTTGTGTATGGAAATGATATTTTGTTATAAGAATGGACTGCTAATAATTTCACTCAAAATTTTTACGTAACTCTTTAATAACCGAAATTTCCGTCCGTCCGCTTCCTTTGGTTTCGTTTTCGTCGACTTCTGCCCATTTTCGTCCATATATTTTGAGACGCTACGTCACCGGTTGAGACTGCCTTTTTCCGCGAAGTGTGATAGAGGCATGTTAAGATAACCGGCACGGCCGCTCCCACGAATAAACTTGTGCTTTTTTGTGTATTCGCACAGTTTTGTCGGTTCGATGAACTAGGCCGTAGAGTTTGGGAACAAGAAAGCAACGCATGGGGAACTTGTGTGTTGCTCGTACAATCAGTATATTTAAAAATTTAAACCATACCTGTGATGAGATTTTATGAACATTTATAGGGCTGGTCTCAAGATGACTTCATTTGGCGTGATGCCGCGGTATCGGCCTGTATTAGCGGATGCCATCTGGATGAGCTATCGGAACACGGTGGCTGTTCAGATTGACGACGACAACTGGTGGCTGGGATTCATTCAGGATATAGACATGGACGGCGAACGCGCCCTCATTCACTTTGCCTCCACAGAGGCCACGGAGCGCTGGATCCACATGGGCCGTGTCTGGGCGTTTCCGTTCTACGACTTCTCATTCGATAGCAAAATTTACGTTGCATTACGTGATTCGGTTGGCGGACCATTCCGCTTTCGAAAGGTCACATTGTTGAGTAAGTTCGTTGGATGTGACGAATCCTGTGTCATGTTCTACATTGCGACGAATTTCGAAATCACATGCCGCGACTGCACGCCTTACCGCATCTGTGACGACCATCTTCCTACCACGAACTGCGAAATGGTCCATCAAGATCAAGTGGTCCAGTCTTTGCCGCCTCCGGGTGGGTCACTGTTGGAGCGTAAGAGTGCTTTGTTTTACACAAAGCACATTATTTTCTCCGACCAAACACAGAACTTATTTATGGACGCTTCGGACAAATTCCGCATCATCAAGCATCTGCGCGACGCTTTCAAACCTCCGCACAGAAAAGCTCTGGCCAGAACGCACGCGTGCCGCTTTTACTTGCGTGTTGAGCACGGCCTCGCAAGCTTTATACTCGCAAGTTATACATGGGACACACAGGGAGTCGGGGAGAAATTGAGGAGAATGCTGGAAACGCATTTAATTAGCAGGGACGAACTGCCGCCCATTCGATCTAGAGGCAGCGGAGGCACCCTTCCTCCGACAGCCGGTTAGTAGTCTGCTGTTAAATGTAGATTGGGCAACAGCTGTTAACGGATGTCTCACTAACCTGTCGTCTTGCCTCAGGTTTAGAGGGTGATACATTGCGAACCAATCATCAGCTGACGCCGTCGCTCCTGAGCGATATTCTGGCCCATCTGGACGTGCACTCCCAAATGCGCGCGAAACGGTAAGAGCGATTTGATAATTCACGAGTAAGTGTCGCCTCACGCCGGTTATTATTGCGACAGAGTGTGCGCCTTGTGGCAGCAGCTGTTGGATAGTCCCCGCATGACGGAGAACGTCAGCATGACCTTTGAAAGCTGTTGGCAGCTGCAATGGGACAGCGACAACTGCTTCAAAGCGGCCACTCTCATGAGCCGCTCCATCACTTCCGCCACCACCAGCTTGACCGTTTTGCGATGCCTCCCTCCCAACCACATTCGATTTTTGTTAGAGTGGCTGGTTCGCTGCAATAGCAAGCTTAAACTAATCGTATTCAAAGATTATGCCAGCCCCGAACCGCATTATACAGAGCCCAAATTCCGGCAATCTCCCTTAAAACACCCGGCCGCACTGCTTGCATTACTTTACAAAAATGTGAGTGTCGCCATTCTGCTGTCCAACTGGACCGTCGGCAACTTGTTCGGTTCCACAGTATTCCACGCATTTGAACGTGATCCGAATGCTCCGAATCTTCAGCCCGCTCATCTCCTGCGCGACAGCGAGCAGGAACTGATGCAGGACCTTACGGCGGACTCCCACGCTATGGAAATTGACGCACTGCAGATCAGCATTCCGCGGCTGCTGATGCGCTGCAGCGAAGGGCGAACGCGCATGGCTGCGCGCTTTATGCACGCCCTCAACGAAAACTTCCCGCCGGTCACTGGAGAAATGCTGGCAAAGGTCACGGCTGTGCATGCGCGGTGGGTGCGCACTCTGGACTATCCCGAACAGTGGGAATCCATACGCAACTATATATGCTTGTAAGTGTACATTGGTCCTGAAGATGGTGTTGTGTGAATGCACAGTGCGTACCCCACCCATAAGCATAACGCTATACGGCTATTGTTGCTGTACGGGTGTTGCTCTTCGTGAGGTGATGTGAATAGCAGAGAGCGCCTGTAACGTATCAGTACCTTACATAGCGCTGCCTTCTACACTGGCGCCACTTCGTCCAACGGCTACGGTATCTGTTTGACAGTTGTAAGAAGTACTGTTACTACTGTATCGCTGCTGGGCAGAATCGCAGCGCAACTCCAAAAACAGGAATCAAATCTAGGCGAAGACTGGAAATAACAGTTGCTAAAGAAACAACACGACAAACCCGAACAGTATCGCCCACGTGCGTTTTCTGCAGTACTGTACATCTAGCAGCTACCCAGATCGTCAGATTGTATATTATCACAACGCCGTAGAGTCATGCTTGCAACGAGATCTGCAGGCTCTTATGTGTTGCAGGTTTAGTGGTTTCCACCCGGATGGCGCGCTGCAGATGTGGGACAATGTGGATCTGCGGCTGCTGGATGTATCCGAATTAAGCAAACTGGCCATTTATGGCATTAACGAACTCTTCCGCGTATGAGGCGTGTATAGGACCGAAAGCTGACAATGCGGATAGCGTTTGTGGTATTTAACTATTTATTCTGGCTTTGGCGTTTAGAGTGTGCGAAGCCACAACACCAAGGGAAAAGCAATCATTCGGGCAAACACAGCAAGGCTTCCGAGGTTCCGGTGGAAGAATGCCGGTCGGCAACCAAACGTCACCATCACTTCCGCGTCGTCCGGATTATCATCCATTTCCGGTGGGGCTACCAGCAGCCCGGTGGCGGTAATTTCCAACAGCCAGGTGGTGCAATCATCCAGTGACCTTTCGTCATTCTGCGGACAGGATTCGCTGGACCACATGGATTTGAATCCGGTAGTATCTGCTTCTAACAGTCGTGTTCCACAATCCAGCGGTTCCGGTTTATCACAAACTTCCGGCGCCGGCTTAACCCGAACTTCCGGCTCCGGTTTCTGCCAAACTTCCGGCTCTGGTTTATCCCATACTTCCGGCTCTGGTTTATCCCAAACTTCCGGTTTATCACAAACTTCCAGTGGGCGAAATTCAGTGTTGCTTGTTCAAATCACTCCCGTTTCCGTTGATTCAAGTAATCGCGGTACGCAATAACCATCATCATCCAATAGTTCCCGGGTGGATCGCGCTGGCCGGAAGCAGGACGGCGTGGATGAGTGGTCATCGTGGGCGAACACCGGCTACGACAGCAATATGACCTTGGTCGCAGTTGATTATGCGCAGACTGAAGGGCGTGGCCAGCTTAGTAGGCTGCTTTTCGTTGCTGCAGATTGACCCCACCTAGCTGGAACTGTCCGGAACGAAGAAGAGTGTGAGTTCGCTGGAGCAGGGTGGTGGACGCCATGTGCAGTGGGCGACAGCACAAGAAAGCAGTAAGAATTTCAGACAGCATTATGATGTGTTAATGACCAATATTTCCTTCAAAAATCGGTCGGTTTTCTAATAATTCTGTAAACGCTCCTTTCTGATCGCACGAATTTTGCGATTTCTGAGTTTCTAAGCGGATGGCGTAATTTTTTTCGTATTTGCGCGTGTGTTTTTATTTGCAACCGTGTTCAAGCTGTTATCGCTGGCGATAAATGCTGTGAAAAGATTAATGCCAAAGCCATCAAAACTGAAAAAAAGTTCCATCAGATGAAAAATTAATCACAAAAGAATATACAATAGCAACTAAGCACACACATAGATAAAAAATTAAAACATCAGAAAGACAATACTACCACAAACTCTTCCACAGGGAAAAAACTAAGTCAGAAAAAAGCTGAGAATTCTTCAGACTTTCATGGAATCCACCGTTTGAAAAATGATTCTTCGCCTTCTTCATCATTCCATTCGTCCATTGATCACTACTATAAAGCCAAAATCACATCTCTTAGATTAAAGTACCTGTTAACATCATCAATAAACATGTCCTGAATTTCTGATCACGACAGACTGAGCAAATTCAGCGAAGACCACTGAAAATTTCAAGTTGAAAAAAATCTTCACTGGCTTTACTGTTTCGCGTGGGCCAAACCGTACGCGTTTCGCGTAATTCACATGAAATTGTTGCAGATGTACCGCTTTACATCGAAAAGAAAGCTGAAAACCCAACATATCTGTCACTGTCATCGTCACTTTCCTCTTGCGGCTCGTAATCATCGTCCTCTTCATCCGTTCCCAGCTCCGACTCAAGCAGCACATCCAGCGGTATTTCTTCTTCTTCCTCAGAATCTCCCATGTCCTCTTCCTCCTGGTCAGAAGAGCACGGGCCGTCCTGTATATTATCCAGTTCGTTTTCATCGTTTGACTGAAATTGATCAAATCATTTCACGCACAAATCCCTTTTTCCCAGGACCGATAACCGGCCAGTAATGGTACACTAAAAATCTTACAAGCGATCCTTTTTTCTTAGTGAACTGCAGCAATCATTGTGACCGTTCAGGAAGCGGAAGAGCCGATGCGGTTTCCGAGAATTTGTACAGAAAAACTTCCAATAGCTTGGTGGGAAGCAGTAACCCTGTCTGTAAAAATACGTTAACGTTGTTCATCCATCATTACCACATTAAAGAAATGGTGGGGACCGGCAAGCTGTCCAACCTTGGCACCGTTAGCCAATTGAGGACCGGTCAGCATGGTGAAAGGGACAAAATTGAGAACAGCGTCCAACACTTCCCGTCGATTACCACCGGAAGGCTCCACACCATTGTCTTCACAAGCCGCCACGGCCCATCTACAGACAGAAAAACTACGCAGTTTGACAAAAGGATTTTAACCATTCTGATTTGGTCACGGCAGCAGAGAGTGTACAAAAAAATATTTTTTTGTACACTCTCTGCTGCCTAGTAACTATCGCTTATTCAGACATCAAAAACCAAAATAATAAATAACTTTTATGCCAGAAACGCAACTTGCTTATTAGAACATTACCGTTATAACATACAGTATCTGATCATATTATCATGCTTATGCGCAGCTCGCTTTATACTGTACAATGTACAGTACTCTTGGCAAAATAAAGAAATTTGCAAGTGGTCTGCTACTTTCTTTAAATTATCACAGTACAAAATTCCTTGAAAGCTGATCAATCAATTCTTTGACTTTTTATCGCACTGTGAAAACGAGTTTTGCCTTGCAAACGATAAAATGCCCACCTGAGTGAGCATGTTGGCAAAGGCATCCGGATGGATCTCGGGAATATCCACGACAGACTGCTCCCCAATCCCTGCCCAGCTTCCATAAAACATAGTGCGAAACACTTCGCTGCTGATGCCCAGAATGTATCTGCAAAACAACACCCGTGCTTGCTCGGCAGTTTTCGTGGGTGGCGCGCGTAGTTATGAGCAGGAAATATTTTTTCACTTCGCCATGCTGACGACCCACGGTAAACGAGGCATCGCTCAACATTCCTGTAGTGTATGTAGTACTCGTACAGGTATTTCATGAATATATGACAGTTCCACTCGTCAACGATGCCTGGATGCGACTGCTGATCCCCGCAAGTTTTTGTAATGTTTGGACGATGAACGGCCGCTCAAGAGAATCAAAACACGTAACCACATCCTAGAGGAGATGGCTCTCTTTAAGCTTAAATCCAGTTCCGGTTCTGGTTTCTCGTTATTTTGTCAGTTCATAGTTTGTAGTTTGTCGTGTGTTTCGATTTGTTGTTTGATTTTGATGTCTGATTGTAAATTTTTGGTAATAAAATTTAACGTATCAAATCTGTTTGTGATCATGTTGTCGTTTGATGATTGAAGCAGGAAATGGATTCCGTTGTGCAGTAATTCGTCCACGATCATTGCTCAGCGTTCGTGAGTTCCTTCAGCCTGGGATTCGGTTACGGGCTTGCGTAAAATCTTGCGCTTTCGTAAAGTCATGAACCACTGAAAAAACTCTCCTGCATTAACCGTGTCATTTAAATGATGAACGTTGAATTCTGTGAGGCACAACTTACACACACAAACACAGCCGCGATGTTGTTTTGGCAGTTTGCAAGCCCTGTAATCGTTTCCTGCAGCTGCAAGTACCCTGCTGGAAACATACCACTAATATCCCCGACAACTTGACAAGCCAGTGATACCCTACGCTCTGGGAAGCCTGCCTGATGCCTTCATTGCCTTGTACATGGACAGTTGTGGAGAATGGAGCACTGGTGAGCATTTGTGGTTAGCAGTTTATTACCGTGGTCGGCCGTGTGTTGGAGTTCCTATGTCGATTTTCATTTCTTGCCATGGAAATATTTTAATATTTTAAAATGAATTTTGCAATGCAATCGTTCACTTGTTTGCTTTGGGCAGTTGTTTAGGTTCGTTTAGGTACGCGACTTATTGGTGATGCTGAATTGCTTTGTTCTGCTAGAACGACGGCTTGGGTGAATTTCTATTTTGAATTTTTTCTTTAATGTCAAAGTCTATATTATATTATGTCATATTTTTTCCTTTTTTTGTTGTGGGTTTTTATTTGTTCGCTTCTAAGCTTCTTATTCGTTTTTTCTACGCAGTTGTAAACATTACCGTATTCCTGTTCGTTTTCAGTACTGTATGAAAAGATTTTCACGATCATTTGTTAAAAGGAATACAATTTTTTATATCTTTATATATATATAGACTGTATATATATCTTTATCTTTATATATATTTATATCTTTATATATATATATATATATATATATATATATATATATATATATATATATATATATATATATATATATATATATATATATATATATATATATATATATATATATATATATATATATATGTTTCCTCATTCACATGACAGTCAGTCAGCAGTTCCGTGCGCAAGTGGCCGACGTCTTTGGACAGTACCGCTGTGGACGCTGGATGCAGGCGCAGAAAAAGAGATTCTTCCCACCCAGACCACCGGCCCCCAAACCCACAAAATCCCAGACGACAATGAAGACGATGACACTGTCGGAGGGACTAAGTAGACTGAAACGCGCTGAAAAGCATGACGAAGGACGTCGCGGCAGTATCGACTGTCTGGAATCGACAATCTCCGACGTGGACATGGCATCGCGACCCGCCTCCGTCCTTCCCTCACGACGGGGGACCAATACGGTGAAGAAGCGCCCCAATGACGTCACAGCTCTTGTGTTGACTGAAAGCGCTCGCAAACTGCAAGCCGGCGATGCCCCCGCAATCCAGATGCAAACCCTGTCACCGAGGAATTATCCAGTTGAAGAAGACCATGTCGGCGCCCCGTCCCGATTACGGCCACAGCACGGCCCCCACCTCACCCACTACCAAATCACCGGTTAAACTCGGCGCACTGCTGCGTTCGTTTTCCTTGACGGACCAGACACCGCCCGCGGGGTTCATCGTGGAGCGTCCGGATTCACGGCGCGGCAGTGTGGACAGCGCCGAATCCGATCGCACCAGCGTGGACATGTTGTCGCAGCCGGCATCCGCGTCAAATTCCCATCGTGGGACCAACACTATGAAAGTCAGCCCGCAGACGACGGGCGACACACAACACGACGACACTATGAAAGTCAGCCCGCGGTTATCGGGCTAGCGGAGTATGTGCGCCGCCTGGAGGAGCAGCGTGTTGGTGTATCGTCTGAATCCGGCGAGCACCGTGTCGGGTGCTGAATGGAGATGGAAAAGAATCTGGCGTATGGGGAACTGCCGCATAAATCAGACATTCGCATTACACTGTCGGAAGATCGCGGTGAAAATGACAAGCGCCGAGCAAGCATTCCTCCAGGCAAGTTCACTTTTAATTGCTGTAATATGCACATAAACGGTACAACTGCACTCACTGATCAGTTGTGCCATGATTTCAAAATTTTGTTTTCAAATATTTCTGCATTCGGATTTATTAATTCATTTAACTTTGTAACACATTATTGATCTTTCTAAGTAATGCAACACGTTATATGTAATATGAGTGTGGAATCATCCGAACGTATAAAATATTTATAGTACCTGTTGTTATATCTATATTTGAACTTTGTTTGTATTTGTAAAATCGTAATAATTATTAAGTAGTTAATCAAGGAATATTAAAAAGTGGTCGATTTGGGTTTATAGATGTCGTGGTATTGCAAAGATACAGTTAACAGTGGTGATCATGATCCGGAAAGGCCACCAAGCCCGCTTGTAGTGCGCAACATCGAAAACCTCGTGACCGACGACGAAAATTCTTTAAAGGAAGTTCGACGACTACCCGCCGACTCCGTCGTTATAGTCAATGAAAATTATGAACCGGACCATGTGAAGAGGCCGCTACATCAAATCCCGCCCAATCACAAACGGCGGGATTCCCACGTGACCTTTAACACACAGGCCCACATTAAAGATGAGACGCTCGACCCGGAACACCGCGTAACTGTGGTGGATATCAGCCACAATTCTGCAAACGCTGACTTGAATTCCCATGTAAGGAAAGAAAATGTACCGCCGCGAGACTCCAAAGCGTTAAATTTTCGTCCGGTTTCTTCTGGCGAAATGATCACGCAGTTGTGAATAGGCATTATATTGTACATGTGCTGGTTGTGAACCATGTGAAGAGTGGATGACGATTCCGTTTTGAAGATTATTCCTAGAAGTAAATGTGATGTTTACATAAATTTTATATAGCAAGCATGAATTGACGATTTTTCCTGGGAAAAGCTATGTTTTTATATTTGTACGCGCACGCAGGTTCTTCTGCAGTGCCAGGAATTAATATTCTGTGGTCTGTACTAGTCTGTAGTTCCGAAAAATACGATAGTTAGGTACGGACATGATAAATTGACAACGCCGCTGGTGTACCTGTGACATTTTAAATCTTATCATTGTCAGCTTAAGGAGTGTGGGGATAAAGTGCTACATAAGTACGCACTCGATTTTTTGAGGTCTACAACTCCTTGTTTATGCTTTCGAGTTTCGGGATTTACTAGGCCTCACAATACCGAGTACCGGGCGTGCTGACTGCTGAGTGCCTTTTTTGACTTGTCCTCACATGTTGGGGCTTAAAGATTCGAAAGTACAGTTTACAAATATAAATTTAATAATGCACCTCTAGGCCGCCGGGAGGCGGCGAGGAGCCCAAAAATCGCCGGGGGGGGGCGGCCCAAATTTTGGAAATCCGCCCGGGGGCGGACTATTTTTTCAAAAAAAATTTTAATAAAAAAATTTCAAAAAATTAGAAAAAAGCTTTAAAAAAATGTACAAAATACGAAAGAATGATGATAAGTTTAAAAGAAACCTAAAAACTTGAAAAAAACGCCATTATTATTTTTAAAAAATTCGAAAAAATCAAAAATTATTAAAAATTTAAAGCGCCCCCCTGGCGGCTCGGCTGCGCCAAGTTTAAAAGTCGCCCCCCCCGGCGGCGCCCAAACCGAGACTGGTGGGGGCGGCCGCCCCCACCGCCCCCCCTCCAACGCGGGCCTGCGACTGGATGGTGTCCAGTTTGATGCCATGGTGCTTCGATCGTTCCACCAGTAATTCCGGATCGTGGATGCGCTGCGCACCCGATAGAATCTCCTCACCGTGGATGAACATATTGTATGAATTGGAGTAGCGCGGGCTGTTGGGGTCAGGCATGGTGTAGAAGGGCCGTACCGCCAAGGGATACTTGTCCAGGATGAAGAAATCGGTGTCGTATTTCGCCCGCACCAGTGTCCCGAGGAGTTTCTCACTGGGGGTGCTCAAATCGTCCTCATCGCCCATCTCCACACCGTTCTCGCGGAGTAGTTGGACGGCTTCGCGGTATTCGAGACGAAGAGATGGTTCTAACTTCTAAGAATTTAAACGGTTCCGCGGGATACTGCTGATTCACTGTGGCGATTTCTTCTGCGTAGTGATCACGTAAACCCTGCAACCATTATACCGAGCATGAGACTCCGTTAAACGGTGAATAAACGTTAATTATTTGTTTAATAAACATGCTTTGACCAGAAAAGTCCTGAGTCGGCAAAGTATCAACCATTTTACACGAGACACTGTAGAGTAATGGTACTGCATGGGTGAAAGTACACAAAAAAAACAAAGTACCCAAAAAAAACAGCAAAAATCTGGTGCTAACTGTAAACCATCTGCGAAAGTTTTCTGTCATTTGGCATGCTTAGTTCACATTTTATCTGTCGGAAATCATTATCAGGAATAATAAGAAGGAATGAGATTTATGCTCATTATGCTTACAAATTGTTACGGTAATGGTTGGAAATTGATCAGATTATCGCAGAAGTTAACTTCGTCTTGGCGGCCGCATATCAAAACCCACGTCTACACTTCACATTTCTATTCACCTGACAAATTTTTACTTAACTTTTAGTTTATCGAAGTTCAAGGCGGCAAGTTTAATGAACAGATTGTATTGTTGGCCAGTCAAGAAAACTGAACAGCCCTACCTTGAAAATCTCCACAAAGAGATTCCCAATCGTATCAGTGACTTCGTGATAGTGATAATTAAACTCCATCTCCAACCCAATAAATTCCGTTAGACGGCGGTGTGTGTTGGAGTCTTCCGCACGAAAGACCGATCCGACCGTGTAGACCCGGTTGAAATCGGAAGCGATGGCCATTTGCTTGTAGAATTGCGGGCTCTGCGCCATGTAGGCGCTGTTCTTGAAATAGCTAACCGCGAACACATTGGCACCGCCTTCGCTGGCCGCCGAGATGATTTTGGGTGTATGGATTTCCACAAAACCGAATTTGTCCAGAGTATCACGGAAGAGCTTCCACACACCGGCTTCCAAGCGGAACACCGCCTGATTGGTCGTGGTACGGAGATCCAGGACCCGGTTGTTTAATCGCGTATCATACAAAAAAAAAACAAATCGGCACAGAGTTAGTCATATGCAGCCGGAGGCGCCATTCTGTCAACATTTAGTTTTTTGTGGCGACTGTCAATGCCGAACAAAAAAAATACTGTAATGACACAGGTTTAAGGAACGCTCCAGCACCGTTTCAAGATCAAAGAGACCGCCGGTCCGGGTGCGCTGACCACGCCTCCCCTACGTTCCTTAAACCTGTGTCATTACAGTACGATATGTAAACCACCGTTTTCTGAATGAAACGGTAAGTTCGTACCCTAGTAGTTCACACTGACTTAACTTTTGTACTAGACTGTGGCACATACTGCAGTGTAAGTAATTGAGAGTTGAGACACAGCGAAACAATCGTCGACAGTCAAATGCAGAAAAAAAACAGGTTATGAATTAATGATGTCAAAGAAATCGCAATAATTTACGATTTAATCATTATTTATCAAATATTTTGAGTAATTACCTTTTGTAACGCAAACCTGATAGTCACTGCCCACTGAATAAAACGTAAAGTACTAGTATTTCAAAGAAAATTGATGATTTTTAATAAAAATTAAGATTATGTTCGAATTTTGAATAATTATTCGTACAGGTATCTAGTCCAACAAAATTTCAAGTGTTTTGGCTTTACCTGATTAACAGTAATCTGCGGACCGTCCTCAGCATTCTCACTGCGCACCGCGTCCTCAATCAGCAGCGGCAACTGCGGCTCAGCCGCCGACACCACATACAGCTCCTCCACGTGGACCTCCACGTCCTGCTGTGAGCAGCTCTCGATTTTCGGGTCGGCCTTCTTAACAATTCCCTTAATATCCACAATCGACTCCTTACTGATTCCCGCGGCAAATTTCACCATCTGTTTACTGATTTTCTCCCCTACGGCCAGATAGGCTTGCACGGTGAACTGCTGCTGACGCAGGACGAAGAAACACTGCTTTCCTTTCGCGCGACTGGTTTGGACGCGCGCACGGACCCATAAGGACTGATCGGCCACGGCCACGCCGAGATCTTTCAGTTTCGTGAGGGTGCGATCCGGTTTGGATGTCGACTGGATCAGGGGGAGTTTACCGTAGAGATCTTTGGAGATGTCTTCGCCGTCGGGGCCGTCCGTGGCGGCCGCATTATCGCCGGCGGCTTGTTTCTTCTCCTGGATCAGTTCGGCTTTCTTGGCTGCCTTCTCGGCTTTCTTCTGGGCCTTCTTCGAGGGCTGCTGATTTTCCGCGTTCTGTGCGTCAGACGTTTTCAGGCGTGAGACGGAGTAACTGTAAAACTGGGGCAAATGCGCAGTTTTAAATCAGAATGCCTTATCGCACGGTTCCGCTTTGCTGTTAAATCCGGTGACGATTAAAGTTAACTGATTTTGCGAAATTGGGCATCATCAACACTGCATCGGCCACGCATTCGGGTGATAAGCTTGGAGCCTGGAATACTTGGCAGACGTATGGTGTGGTGTGATTTCCATTAATTTATTAGCTTGCCGCATCTGATGCCATCTGTCATTGTTGAAACTTTAAGCCACACACCTTTTAATTATTCTTCTGTTTTTAACAATATTATTAGCTTTTACTTTATGAATTTTTATTTTTACGAAAAAGATGCTCTAGACTTTAAATAAACATAAAAAGGATTATTATACAAGTTATTAGCATGGCCAAGCAGGCTAACAGGCGGGCAACAGCTTTGCATTTTGGAGCGATTTATTATCACTAGAAGTGGAGATTGCCGAAGTGAAGATGCCAATACAAATGCTTCCGGTGGTCTGCCGGAAGTCGGGCAAGAACTTGGAAACAGCAAAACTGCGAAATCTTTAGTAGTAAAAGTCCTTGCCGATATACTTATTTTTACTATCTGCTTTTGGAAGTTTACTTATTTTTACTTACTTTTCACAATTTTTCGGAACTTTTACTTACTTTTACTACTATTTCAATTTTTCCAAGGACATTTACTTACTAAATTAAAGTAAATTTACTAAATAAATGTAATTACATGAATACTAACTATCTGTGCCAGGATTTCGGCCCCTCTCCTTTGGCGCCGGTGATCTCAGCTTCTACTCATTCAATTTTCCTGCTTTAAAATGCTTTAAAAACCTCCCGATCACGCGGGTGTTCTAAGACCAGTCGACGTTGCCAGTTTGCAGAACCTCAAGTCCAGTGGTCACTCAAAAGCTTGTTACCATGGATGCCATTGGGCTAACATGGGCGGGTTCACGCTCGTGTGCTTACTAATTTGCAAATTTCCAGGGAGACAGCTTATGTTCTAGCATTATTCTGATACGTAAAAAAATCTGAGATAGTCGCATGCCGATATTCATCCGTGCTCAGCTTGTTTAGGATTGAAAGTGTCGAATTGAGTTAGTTGCAAAGCGCTGAAAACTACTGAAAATGGTGCAGAAAAATTTCTTATGCATTAATCAAGCTATACAGGCGAATACTGCAAGGTAAATACTGCTGCTTTTTAGGGCGGCAGGCTGACAGCCAACTATACTGCGGACACTCACTTTACCTGCGAGAGGCGGCGGCTGACACGCCAGTTTTACATAACGCTGATAAAACGAATTAGTAAATAATTTAGTAAATGATTTTTATTTATTCAACGCTAAACCTTAATATTTACTTACTTTTTACTATTCCGGCAGCACATTTACTTAGTTTTACTTACTTTGTTTCCAAAACCTTACTATTCACTAGACTTTTAATATTAGACGGACTTTTACTAAGTAAATGGCCATTATTTAATTTTATTTAGTAGCACAACACTAGAAATCTTGCATTTTTGCAGCCGCGCAGTTATCTGTGTTTCTGTGTTTGGATTTTTTGATGAAAATTGGCAGTCACTGAATGTCAGAACTTGCAATTGCGAAAGAGTTTTACAGTTCGCTTTTACGTCTACCCCAATTCGTCAGAATGCGGATTGTCCGATCGCGGGACCAATACTTGAAGTCTTAAACCCAGTTGGAGTGCAGCAAGGAATTGCCTGTTCCGCTTAACTTAATCACGGCATAACCGTCACTGCAACACTCTCCGGAATCCGGATTGACGCTATTGTTCGCCAGCAATTAGACTCTAACAGCGCGCCTGTTGTCTTCCTGTGTTTCCATCGACAACTGATTATTACTTAAATGGCTGCAATGGAAACGAAAAGCTCGAAATCGCGCAGAAGATCAAAATCCCGTAGACTAGGTATGATTTCTTTGTCCTTCTGATTTTGCACATCGCAAGTCTGGAACACCCTTGATTGTACAGATCCTAGCATTGCTGAGTTACTGGAGAGCTTCATTGGAAATCTCCGAATGGAGGTGCAGTCCATAACCGAGGAAGGAATGCAGATGGAGTTTGATTTGATTGGCACGGTCCCTTCGATTGCTAATGCAGTTCGCCGCGTTCTTCTGGTCGAGGTAACTGTTCTACGCCTTAATAAACTGTTATACATCTCGCTTTTTTGCGAATTGCAAGCCCGCTCTTTGAATTTTATTGTCTGATTTCTGCTACATGCAAAATGATGCGTAATCATTGAAAAAAAGTTGCGAACCTTGAGCACTGATATATGTACGATTATTATATATGTATAATGTATTTGTTGTTGTGATTTTTTAATCGAACTCTTTGTGCGCTGCTCTTATTTGACAGGGAGTTCTGTAATAATTTTGGGCAATTTGTGACTTAAAATTAAATTTTTCGGTTTTTGTTACAGTATTGCTTAATGCCTTGCCAAATTGTTAAAGATGAACGTATGTATTTGCTCGTATTATAATAGACCGGTTGTGTTTTACGTCATGCATACTCAATACTCAGTGAGAGAATTTGTTCAATGACACTGATTTTAAGTATCGCAGTACAAGAAGAAGTGCAACTTAAGTACCAAAACAGATGAGAAATAACAGGACAGTAAGGCAAGAAGTTATGGACGAAATTGATAAATGCATCGCTGTGTAAACGAAGATGGTTTCATCTGTTTTTGTTCCCGCTTGTTTATATTTGTGTTATTTTGTCAGGTCCCCTCAATGGCACCAGAAACCGTCCTCTTAGAGCAGAACAACACCGCCCTGCAGGACGAGGTGCTGGGCCACCGTATCGGCCTGATCCCTTTCCGCGCCGATCCCCGCAAATTCAAATTCCGCGAACTGAAATCCCGCTCCGATCATCCGGACTACGCCCTGATCTTCGGCCTGAAAGTGACAGCCCCCAAGCAGTCCCTCGACACGGACAAGCGCTTCATCAGTACCAAAGTGTACTCCAAAGACTTCTTCTGGACTCGTGATTCCCTTCTACACGATCCCTCCGAGAGCGATGAACAGCGTCGGCCGGTGCATGACGATATCCTGATCAATGTAATGAGGCCGAATCAGGAGATGGATCTGAAGATCCATGTGGTGAAGGGTATTGGGAAGGATCATATTAAATTCTCACCGGTCTCCTTGGCTTCCTACAGGCATTTGCCGTTGATCAAGTTGAACGACAAGACTATTGTGGAAGGAGAGGATGCGGAATTGCTACAACAGTGTTTTTCCAAAGGTCTGATTGATATTGTGGAAGACAAAAAGGGTGAGTTAGACAGAGGTGAAGTGGTGTACTGGAATCAGTAAGAAATTTGATGGGATATTGAGCGGTTGTTTATCTGCTGATAGTTGTGTCTCTTTTTAATATCGTCTCTTGAATTTCATCCCAGTTTGGCTAACGCCAAACCGAAAACACATTTTTACTCTCTTAAATCTGGATTGTATTGTCTTTAATCTCGATACAGGCATGTTCTTTCGTTATAGTCTACTGATTTCTTTCACCAGTGCGATTTTTATGCATATTGCGTTGATAAATTGTTAAATGAATTGAATGAAAATGAGAATTCAGAGCAAACTATTGAATCGTTTCTAATTAGCTGCAGTAAAGTGAATGTTTAATACTTTATCTACTGAAGTTTTTACGGGTTTTTAAGCAAGAGCGCAAGCGAATTCCATTTTATGGCGACGGTGTGACTAATATGTTTTTGTGGTGCAGGTAGGAGAAAGGCGAAAGTGATTAATCCGCGGTTGGATTGTGGAAGTCGCAATTTGCTGCGGTATCCGGAAATCAGCAAAAATTTGGAACTGGGTTCCGTTAAGGATCATTTTATTTTCTCCGTGGAATCTATTGGTGCCTTGCCGGCTGCTGTTTTAATTAAGGAGGCTTGTCGGGTTCTTAGAGAACGCTGTGAATATCATTTTCTTAGCATTGGCTGTGGTCGGCAAGACGCAGATGCTTAGCGGCAGAAATTGTTTTCCAAAGGCCACAATAAAAGCGACAAAAACCTGAGTATGTATGTATCAGCAACGAGCATACGTGTTTCCAGTTAGTGATACATCCAGACACCTCTGTAAACTGACAAAATGTACCGAGAAGAGATAAAAACGCAACCGCTTTCGTTAGACAAGAAAAATTACACAATGTTAAGAGTGTAATTGTTCCGCACCGGAAAACGTTCTCTTACATGCGCTTGACATGTTGGTCTTATCTACACGGCAAAACTGGGCGGAAAAAAATGAAAATAATATGGCTAATTTGCTGAGATTGCTAGTCAATGTTCTCGACATCGAGCCATACCATCATCCAACGAACAAGAAAACTGCAGCAATTGTTTTCTGCCGAACCAGTTTTTACTGACGGGTGAGCTGTCGGCACGTGCCAATCAACAAGCGTTCTAACCGAATAAATTAACAATAAATACCGGCAGACAAGGGTCGGTTGTGATAAAAAAATGGAGTGCCTTGCTGGCACACATTCTCCTGCTTTAGCAATGTCCTCGTCTACGGCACAATTTATGTCAGCCGATATAAGAAGAGATGCCGTGTTCTGATGACAGTTCCTGGCCAAGCGGTGCCCCAAGGAATTATTAAAGGAGCACAGACGTCGTATAAAGTTATGCAACTATGGTTGTTTATTCTCCGCTGCTGTAATTAAAAGCGATCGACGCAGAATACGCTGTTTGCAGTCGACATAGAGCATGATTAAGCCCATTGCTATACTATGCGTGGTGTTAAGCGCTCAGTCTCGAGCACAGCAATATGTGTGGGATTTGCTGAAACCACCGCTCACCGCCGGCGAAGTGCGAGCCATTGCGTTTAACGCTTATGCAGCGGACACCTTTCCCATGTATGCCAGCATTCCCCAGACGAACTTGCGGTGCGACAATAAGAAACAGCCGGGATTCTACGCCGACACGGAAGCCCAGTGTCAGGTCTTTCATCGATGCGATGTCAATGGAAATCAGACTAGTTACCTGTGCGTCAACAGCACGGTGTTCAATCAGGTCACTCTCGTGTGCGACTATTTTTACAATGTCGACTGCGAAAGGTAAGTAATATTAATGTCAGATATGACACAGAAGCAGGAGAAAATGGGGACAAAATATGCCTTTATTGTGATAGCAATAAAGCAAAAACACAAAAACCAACAGAAAACCCGATGTGGAAAAAGCTGTGGAAAAAGTGCCTGCAAGCGCGCAAGTGTGAATCGTGATTAATGATTCAGCGTGCTGCGGGTACGCAACAGCTGATGCCACAAAGCATGGAATCGCTCGTAAGCGCTGGGATACGCCCCCAAGAGTGCAGCGATGCGCTGATTGGTCAGCGTAGACAAAGTATACGCTGAGTAAGCAGCGTAATAGCGCGGCACGAATGGCGTTGCCATGTGCGGGCGGGCGACAGAGAAATCCACAAGAGGTGTCTACCGCCTCGAGTGAGCGGTCTCTGACATGCCTCTGGGCGGGAGTGGGAGCTCCTGCGAGCACCTTCCGACTCTGTCCCTGGCCAACCCGGTAGGGCCGGATGCCACTTTGTCTCTAAACCCGGTAGGGTTGCTGCCTCCAGACCCGCGGTGCAGTGCACCGAACAGTCGAAATCCGGAGTGCTCTCTGGTTGCTGGGGGTTCTAGTGTTGTGGAAGGCTTGCTTTGGTCCATCAAGTAAAAAAATAAAGTTTATAAGGCTCATTGGTTAAACATGGAAATAGAAAAATCACAATTTCAGTGAGAATTAAAGTAAAGATCATAGTTAGAGATCCCAAAGCCAATTCCTTTGGTTAGTTGGCTAAATAAAAACATCAATTTCTTTGGTTAATAAAGTCTAGAAAAACCAGGTTTGGTTAAAAAACTAGACGTAAAATAGCTCATTCCGACTAGGTATACCACACGGCCACTTCTGTCCACAGGGGTCCTAGTTAATGGTCCGCTTTATCCGGTAGGATTGTTCTGGTCCTGTGAATCCGGGGCAACGGTTCCTAGAGATGTCCACAGGGGTCCAGTGGAGTAAATCCGGCGGTGCGGTATATGTTGCTTTCGCAAGGACTGGTTGTCCCCTTCCTGGTTTGGATATGGTGGACCAAGCCCGGTGGGGCGGTCCATATAGGGCCAGAGTGATGTCTCTGGACAGGAGAGGTGTTCCTGTAGCCAATATAGTATGCTTGGACCAATTCCGTTTGGATGGCCCGCGTTGGTCTCTAACTTGGACCGGTTTTGGCCTTGCATGCCAGTTTGGTCATGCGCCTAGGTCCAAAACTCTTCTAAGTCCAAGAGGGCCACAATGGAAAAATTTCTAAGTCCCAGGAACGAAGTGGAGTGATGGACCAAACCCGTTGGGGCGGTCCAAACTCGGTCTCTGACATGCTCTGGGCCGGGATACAGGGCTCCGGAGTGGCGGGGCCTTGCTTCTGGCCTTTGCTGGGGTGTGGGTCCGTATAACAGGTTTTGGCTCTCCGATATGGACTCAGTCGTTTTTTGATGAGCCACGTCGTTTGACGGGCCAAAAAACTTAGTCATTTTTCGGTGGGCCACGTTGTGGACGGGCCAAAAAGACTTAGTCGTTTTTCAAGAGGCGACGTCGTTGGACGGGCCAAATGGACTTAGTCGTTTTTTCGACGGTCCAAGGTTGATGGCGGGCCAAAGGGACTCAGTGGTTTTTTCGACGGTCCAAGGTTGATGGCGGGCCAAAAGGACTTAGTCGTTCTTTCGACGGTCCAAGGTTGATGGCGGGCCAAAAGGACTTAGTCGTTTTTTCGACGGTCCAAAGTTGCAGACTTGTTAAGTCTGGTCCGTCTCACTGGCCGTGGGCCGTGAGTGAACTACCATGTCAGATAAGCAAGGTAGGTTTCCTTGAGACCGTGGCCATAACAAAATTAGGTGGCGTCTGACGAAAACATCAGGTTGGCCAGGCAAAACTCCAAAAAAATTAAGTTGTGGGCACCGGTAGGCGTTTTCCACAAGGGAGTCGGTCTGCTGACTAGAAGCGTCCTCATTCGGTCTCGGGCGGTGCATCTTTTGGATGGGCCGCTGGGCGGTCCGTGGTGAGGATGTTGGACATGGCATGCAAAGTGGGCTTACCACAACTTCGATGTGGCTCCCGTACTTACTTGTCCCAGTTGCCTGGTACGGCAACTAAACTCGTGAGCCGCTTATGGTCCGTTAGGCACCTAGCGGGCCTGGTCCAATTTCTATGGGCCAGGACTTGTCCTTGGCTTGCCGCAACTTCTATGCAAACCAGGCTGATTCACGGCTTGTCGCAACTTCTATGCGGGCCGTCGCCGCCTTCTGGGCGCTGGATCCTTTCCATGCCGGTGAACCAGGCCTCGCGCCAAGTTCGGTCCGGTGGACTCCGTCGGATGGTCTGGGATGGCCGAGCAAAATTCATGGTCTCAGCCGCTAAGCCAGAGCCAATCCGGGGAATCCGGTTAAGATACAGGGATTTAGGGCCGGTGAGGTAGACAGTACATGGCCGTAAGCCACGTTTATTGGGCGAGGGTCACAACCGTTGGATTGTACCCATTATGGTGTTCAGGTCCGGTTTCCGCTAATGCCGGTCCGCTTCTTGGGCCGACATGCAGGAATGGCCGTTGGCCTATTCCTGCGCTTCGTGTCCGGTTTGATCGCCGTCGCCCAACCCAGGGTTGAGTGGGTCGACGACGCTTTCTTCCATGTCCGCCAATTCCTGTTCGGTCAGGTTTCCCTGTGGTTGGCTGGAGGCGCTGGTCGGCTGGACTTCTAGGCCAGAATGCTCGGCCTAAGCTTGGACGTGTGCGGACGATCCTGTTGAGGATCGCTGAGTGCGAAACTTCGTTGGAAGTTTCCGCGCCGCCGTTCGGTTTACGAACGCTTCCGCTCCGTCGTCGAAGTCCATTGGATGTCGATAGCGGTAATCTTTGGCGCGGCTCCTGAAAACGTTCAGGGCGCTCTGGATTTTGACTCCCGCTTCGATTTGATGGATCTGGTTTCCAAGGAGGGCCACTTGGGTCAGTAATCGAGGAATGATCTTCTCCTGCCGATAGGCAACTTCCAGTTCCCAGTGGCACCGTAGGTGTCCGAGTCTGGCGGCAAAGATGCGTATCATAATGCCGTTGTACGAGTAAGCGTACGTTCCAAGTGGGGCTTCCTTATAATCGGCCGGCTTGCATGGGATTTCCATGGCGGCTCGAGAAGCTGCGATTATGAAGCTGGCGTTCGCGTCCGGTAGGACGAACTGGGCTAGATATTTGACGACGTCGAGTTGGTCGTCTTTGATGTGCAGTTGGCACAAGTCGTTCCAGTCCGGTCTGGTGACAGGCTGTCCGAGTAGATTCACGTCCGTAATGCTCGATAGAGCATTATCGCGGACCATCGGGTAGCCTTCGCGGTTTTCGGTATGTTCCGCCATACTGAAAGTACGTCCTTTTTCTGCATTTCCATTTCAAGTCCGGACCGGATGACAAAGGTTTGCAAGTTCTGGACCATGGCGTTAACTTGGGCCCATCGATCCCTGGGGTATGGGATAGCGCCCATGATGTAATCCGTCAACACCCGGTGGGGAAGTGGACGGATGTTGATGCCCTGGTGTTCGGCATATTAGTAGGGATCAAAGTCCGTGGCACTTACGCTTGCGTCTTGTCGGGCCGGTAGGACCGATGACGGCGGTGCGGACTCTGTCTCCATCGGTATCTGGATGCTAATGTTATGGGCCACCGAGCTGACGCTTCGTTCTGGTCGCTTGGTGGACTGAGCGACAACCAAGCTGGACTCCGCCTCGTTCCGTTTTCCGGGTGAGGTGCGCGTTTGGCGCTCCTCGGGCTGACTACGGCTCTGGCGGCCAATTTGGTCCTGGTTGCGACTTTGGATCTGGTAACGTAAGTCGTCTGGCTTCCGCGGTAGCGGTGCCGCTGGCGCATGCTGTTCGATACGCGCTGGTTGGTATTGGCCTTTCAAGGCATCCAGCAGTCCACCCTCCATCAGCTGTTTGGCCACCTGGTCAACCATGGCTTTATTGATGTTTTCCAGGATCTGATTGTATGTAGTCGGTGTGGGCAGCTCATACCGACTACATACAAGGATTGAGAGCATGACGATGGCCGCTGCGGATGTGGCTGGTGTACGTAATTTCTCAGGTCGGCCGTTGGGCCTCGACCTGAAGACTGGTCAGAGCCCGTGTTGCGGGCTCGACGTTCCCGGTCCCGTTCCTTTTTACGTTCTCGAGCCGATTGGCTGAGTGGAGGAATCTGAGTTCCGGTGCTGCTCCAGCCAGGTTGTCGGGCGCCACTGCGTTGCATGTAGAGATCTTAGATCTCTATCTGTTCGTGGTCCCTCAGTAGGGGAAACAGGTGGCTTCCATCGCGGCTGGTCATGTGGCTGTATGCGTCGAAGTTACCTCTCACCACTTCTAGGTAGAAACAGTAGGCTCTGTCATTTTCGTCGCAAAAGCCCGGTCGCAAGTGGTATGCGCAAGGGAACAATTCCCGTTGGGAATTGTCCCGGCGGTTTAAGTGATCTCCGCTGTTGCGTCTGCAGTCCGAACATCGCGGCTCGTACTTCTGCTGTGGTGTAAGTACCGTTCTCTGTGGTAACAGAAATGAAACTTGCAGAATAAGGTTAGGTCCACTTTCTATGACGGGGTCCCTATGATAATTACGCCCTATGGTTTACGTCCCTATGATTTTACATGTTATTTGTTAACGTTACTAGGCTTTCCTTGCCCGGTGAATTATATCGGGATCACCCCCTAGACCCTATGCGAATCCTACGCCTAGGTCACTGATGGTAAGTGCGCCGCTTCTTCTTGGACTTGGTTGAGGCCAAGGAGGTGGATTCGGTGGGACGACCGAATTCGCCTCCTCACTGGGGATCAGAGGGGGTTCACTGGGGATCAGAGGTTCCAGGAAAGAAAACCGAACGATACTGCTACCATGTCAGATATGACACAGAAGCAGGAGAAAATTGGGGCAAAATATGCCTTCATTGTGATAGCAATAAAGCAAAAACACGAAAACCAACAGAAAACCCGATGGGAGAAAGCTGTGGAAAAAGTGCCTGCAAGCGCGCAAGTGTGAATCGTGATTAATGATTCAGCGTGCTGCGGGTACGCAACAGCTGATGCCACAAAGCATGGAATCGCTCGTAAGCGCTGGGATACGCCCCCAAGAGTGCAGCGATGCGCTGATTGGTCAGCGTAGACAAAGTATACGCTGAGTAAGCAGCGTAATAGCGCGGCACGAATGGCGTTGCCATGTGCGGGCGGGCGCCAGAGAAAGCCACAAGAGATGTCTACCGCCTCGAGTGAGCGGTCTCTGACATTAATATCTATATAATATTATTCATAATAATATGTACGGCTTTTTTTGTCATTACAATTTTTTTTTATTTGGTTGAATTTACCGCAACTTAGTACATCTATATTTCCGATGTAGATTTGCCACATACAAGCCCGTTTTCAAACCTGTAGACCGCTGTAAGCGGGATATTTGAAAAACGTGGGCTTGAGCCATTCAAGGTGCTTCGGCACGTCACGGCGTATTGGTCACTAACGCCACTGCGATATGAGGGGTGTGTGAGAGAGACAAGTATGAGATAGACTGAGTGCTCTACGCCAATGCATCCAGTGTAGAGTAGATAAAATCTAGCCTGTAACTGTGCGCTTAATCACTGCGTCGCGCTTACAGCGGTCTACAGGTTTGAAAACGGGCTTGTACGAAGACTTCGCCAATTCCCGTCTGTACACTGACCGACATCTGTTCGATTCGCCACCTTCTAATTATGTACCACCCGGTGCACGGCTTCCGGGATTCAGTTTTGTATCCAGCGAGAGGCCCGCGAAACAGCGCTCCACGCCCATAACAACCATCGAGCGACCGAAAATGCTACAAAACACACCATTCGGCAACAAAATTGCTTAGTTTGCGTGCCCGTACTACGCTGCGTTGCCGGCGTATGAATAGATCAAATCAATTTACGCCATTAACGCGTACCAAATCCAGTTGACGCGTTCTTTTGTACAAAATAAACAGTGTATACTATCTTGGATCATGCTTATTCGGAATCTGCATGGAAATAAATATTTTGTAAGCACTTGCAGGATTTGGGGCTAATCGAAGAGTAACTAAGAGTCGGCGAGAATCCAACTCAATTACTGTGTACCGCAAGTGTGGTTGGTCAAGCACATCTTTTTATGGGTTTACTAGAAAATTCAGACTGTGCCCTCGACTGGGTAGTGTGCCGGTACATAGCAATAAATTCATGAAAATCCATGTAAAACGATATCATACATAAGTACTTTAACGTGCAAAACTACAAGACGTTCGGCCCATAATAGAACATTTGCGCACCTGTTTGTATTTGAAGCCGCTTGGAATTTTTTATCACCAGTTACCCGACAACCCGATGCTAAGCGCACAAACGGGTTCACACCAAAGTACGTAATCCTTTTCGCAACAAAATACCATAAATCAATAGATCTTAACATAGTTTCCGTCTTAAATGTACAGTAGAGACTTCTGTGTGCGCGGTTTACCAAGGGACTGTACTACCGAATACTTGCGGTCTTTTTTGCAAAGCAAGAATGTAAAAGTGAGATTTGTAGATGTTCGAACCAGAGCAGCAGACGATCTGAGAGGCACAACTTTCGCTCGCGTTGGTACATACTCAGACTGTGAAAACATTATGCTGAACTCCGAAATCTGGCCAAGCAATATTATCGTCAAACAGTGGAAGTATTTTCAAAAGAAAACGAGCGCGACGAATGAGGATCATTTAAACTAAATCGAAAGAAATCTTTAGTGAAAGTCAAGCCGCGAAAACATTCGTCTTCTAATTTAACCATGAGATTATGTAATATTAATGGAATATCTTCGAAATCTGATGAAGTAAAAATATTTTGTTCAGGAAATGATTTAATAGGACTGACTGAAACTAAGGACAGGCCTGGACTGCCAGACAAGATGTTTCGAGATGGTAGGTCTTTTAACGTTTTTCGTCGCGCACGTGTCGGTAGAGCAGGCGGAGGAGTTGCGTTAGTAGTTAAAAAGCACCTCGCTGGTAAAAGACGATCTGACCTTGAAAGAGCTGAATTTGAATTTGTTGCTGTCGAAGTTAGCGCTGTTAATATTATTGTCGGTGTGTTCTGTGGCGCCCCCGACGAGATTTCAGAAGTTTTACCGAAGTTTCTAAAACATCTTAGCAAAATTTTAACTGAAAATGATTCACAACGGTTTTTACTAATGGGTGATTTTAACTGCCCTAAAATAAATTGGCATTCTTTAAAATCGAATGTTGCGTACGAGCAATGTTTATTGAAATTTTTAAAAGAGTTCAACCTAAAACAAATAGTTTTGCTCCCAACGCGGAAAAGCAACACTCTCGACCTGATAATCGTACCTACTAAATGGTACATTAATTCAGTTAACGTAGTCAGCCCACCAGCAAGTACGAATGACCACGACGGACTATCTGTCGTTCTTTGCCTTCCAAAAATTAAATCAATCGAACCCCAGAAAATTGTATGGAAGTTTCTACCCGAAAACATCATGCCCTTTCGAAGTGCTCTTTTTGAAGTAGATTGGAAAGTCATTTTAAGGGATAAAAAGTGTTCTGAAATGACCCTTTTAATTGAAAATGAAATAATCAGTAAAGCTCTCCAGTTTTTTAACAAAGTAAGGCTAAAGCCAAAACGATTTTCATGTTCTTTCCCTCTTTCGCTAAAGCGCGCTATCAGAAGGCGTGATACCGCGCACAGGCGCTATGTAAGAGCTACGAATGAAGACTGTAAGAACAGATTAAGAGGGGTCTGGAAAACCTACTCAAAAACCTGCGACTTGTCGATACGAAATTTTATGAATCGTAAGCTACAGGATATCGCAACAGCCTCCCGACAAAACCCAAAAAAGTTCTGGTCGTATGTACGTAAAAGTGTTGACAAGCAGGGTATGCCGATTCTGCGATGTGGTGATCAGATTGCAAGCACCGACGAAGAGAAAGCTGAAGCGCTAAATACCCATTATTCGAGTGCACTTATTTCGTGTATGTCACATTGTTCAGATAGCGTAGTGACATGTAAGACACCCGTCAGTGTGGAAAACTTTGTTAACGAAACAGACATCTGGGAAGCCTTAAAATTGGTTGATATTTCAAAAAGCATTGGGCCGTTTGAGTTTAGCAACGAGCTAATTAAAATTTGTGGTTCTGCTTTAATAGCACCGTTAAAAATTTTATTTAACTGTTGTCTTTCTGATCGCAAATTCCAGAGACTTGGAAAATATCATATATTACGCCGGTGCCAAAGCAGTCGTGTGACCTTACGATTCCTAAAAGTTGGCGACCGGTCAGTAGCCTTCATCCGCTGTCTAAAGTATTCGAAAGACTGTTAAATGAACGACTGACGTCGCATCTGGTAAAACATGACCTGATCAGGGACTATCAGTTTGGGTATCGAAAAAAGCATTCTCCTGAATTACTGTGCCAAATTTTAGTGCAGAACATTATGAATTACGTTGATAATGGAGTTGATGTCGACTGTGTTTTTCTTGATTGTAGCAACGCGTTTGATCGAGCTGATCATTTCACTATTTTGGAAAAACTGCGTAACCTAAATTTAAATGAACAGTTAATTGATTTATTTAGCGATTACTTACAGGGCCGATCTCAAGCTGTAATCGTAAATTCTAAAATTTCAGATATGAAAAAGGTCACAAGCGGTGTTCCTCAAGGATCGATTGTAGGTCCTAAGTTGTATCTTTGCATAATGAACGACATTGCAGATCTACCTGAAGACTGCGAAGTATTCATTTTTGCTGACGATGTTTGTGTTCTTTGTAAACTCGAATCGGAACAAGACGAACTAAAGCTCCAGTCAGCTTTAGGCAAAGTGTCCGACTATGCTACGCGACACCAACTGAAATTCAATCCAGCTAAATCTGGGCACATCCGTTTCACGAACAAACGCGCGAAGCTGCAGGAGAGCATATATACCTTAGAGTCTGAAAAAATCCCTGTTGCTGAAAACACGAAATATCTGGGTATTTATCTCGACCGTAAAATTAGCTGGAAATTCCATTGTGAGAATCTGGCTTGCCGTATGAAAAAGCGAATTCGTTATCTGAATGCGTTATTTCCTCTTCAAAATAGCGCCGCCCGAACAAAGCTATACGATGCACTGGTAAAACCGATTGCTGAATATGGCAGTACAGTTACCTTTTACCAACAGAAACAGTCAGTTGACCTTTTAGAAAAATGTCAGTTCAGATTTTTGAAAACGATTCGGCTCGGACCACACAGTTTTGAGTATTGCGAAACTCTCAGCAAAACCGGGTACAAATCGCTGTTATTCTGCCGCATTAAAAAATCTTTAGTCATGATGTACAGGATGTTGTTTGGCCTTATACCTCATGCTGACAAATTTTTTAAATTTCGTGGAACTATTGCTGCTGGCTCTGATTGTGTTGCAGGTAGGACACGTCAGGTAACAACCTTGGATTTGCACCCTTACGCAGTGGAACCCGTGGGAACCCGAGCTGCCGACGGACGGATCTTCCTCAGTGAACGAAGCTTTGTTTTCCTCATGGCCCGTTTATGGAATGAAATTAAGCTTCCCAAGGAGTCGTACGATTCTATCCGACGATTCGCGTCGTGTCTGGACTCCGTAAAATGGATGGATTTAAAGTGGACCGATTGTTTTATTCATAAAGATCTCAGATCTTTACTCTGACACTTACTGCCGGATATTTATTTAATCATTGGTTTCTTTTTGTTTGTGTTTTTATGAGCTGCTACTGCGGCAGCACATTCTTTAACGGTAGTCTACTACCTTGTGCAGGATATTCCTGATCGTTGTAGACGTTAAGCTGAGTAAACAAACAAACAAACAAAGTAGAGAGTGATTGTAATTACAGTAGAGAGTGGTTGTAACTATGTAATTCGTATTAGTTTTTGTGTCAAATCCAGTTGTATACAATCCCCGAACAGGATAGAGGAAGTGTTTTTGTTATGAATTTTATTTTTGTACTCAGTTTGTACATGTAAGTTGTATGTGTCACTTATTTAAAGTACCACCCTCGTTTTTTACATGCGCCTGACAGTTTTTAAAAAAACTGACCTTTCTTTTATACATGAGCGTCGTATTCAGTCAGAGAAATCGAAATAATTATCGTTGCTTTTAAAAGCAAGCCAAAGAAAAAACTGTAAGCATACCTTGACGTACACATTTTGGAAATTAAAGGAAATGAAAGCCACCATATGCAATAGACATAATACCTAATAATTCTTAAGATCCAGGGGAAATCATTCTGTTTATGCGTGTTTATGGGTTGTCGTTCGCCTGTACCGATTCAAATATGTACAATACATGCGCAAACGGTATGGGAATGTCGACGACACGAAAAATTTACTGTGTTCACAATAATTACAGTATTATGTATCCATACCTTATGGTTTAAGAATGGTACTCGCAGTAATCATAGCATAAAAAGAATTATTACGCATAAAAAAATGGAAATTACGTACTGTATTTCTTTGCATATTCAAAAGCTTCCTGTTCGTTAAAGAAAGCAATACCTTTCTCCTATCATAGTTTGGCAATAAAGGTTAGGTAATAGATTTATAAATCGCTACGTCTTCAATCCAAAACAATTAACTCTTAATTCCAGATTCAACTTCAAAAGCGATTAATATTTTTAAAAAATAGTTTCGGACATGTAGGGTGGGACATGTAGGGTGGCTATAAGTGGTTTTGAAACAAGTTTGAACGTTCTAAAATTCAGAAAAAAATTTTGAAATTTAGTACTGTGACATTGTAGTATCTTTTAAAAAGTACTAGAAAAGTCAACATTTGCAGCAAATTTCTTTTTTATTTGGGTTATCAGTACGAAGTACTTAGCAACCCCAAAATCTATAACAATTATAAAGTATTAATGGTCATAACTCATCAGCACAAGTCTTCATAAATCGCGAAGGCAACACTTCTGTATTTTAGAATTCAAATATATTTCTAAACATTTTACATTTTAGGAATGGTTATGCCGATACGACAGCGCACCGGCAAATATAGAATTGTGGATCATAAATGTCATTTGTCAGTCTTACGCCTAATTCTTAATATATTATCGTACCTGAGACCGAAGACGCAACTGGTCCTAAAATTACTTTATTACCTCTGTAAACGTTTTCCAAAATTTTCGAAAGTTTCTGAAATTTAAAAAAAATTCAAGATGTTTGCAAAGCCGTTTGCATTCAAAATGTTTACTTCCAGCTATATTTTAGGATTTCCACGTTTGAAAAACGAGTTCAAAATAAAATTAAATTTCGATAAAAAATTTTGATTACAGTAATACCAGAGCACACATAATTCAGCTGCCGCAATAATATTTGTACTTGGTTAATTATTAAAACTAGTGCCTCGTCTAACGTGCGGTTTATTCAAGCGCTTCCTCATTGTTTTTTAACGTAGTACCAGTATTACGCAGCATTATACGTAATACCATACTTTATTGTTAAATGCAACCGATCGCGCTAGCGCGCGACGGACACCGGACACCGATTCAACAGAAGATGAGTTTGTCCTTTTAAAAAAATACTCGCAGATTGTGGCACTTGGATTTGCCACATATGGACAGAATTATTTGGTTCTATTTATTTTACTTAGTATTTACTAATTATTGTGAGATTCTAGACAGTTCCAGGAAGGTCGACAGATTTGCTTTTTTTGGTGTTTTTCGCAACAAAAATCAAAACAACACGTAAAAAGGTCATTCCAAGAGTTCCCCTTTTTCTCCGTGCCATCCGTGCTATAGCTTCAATTACTGAAGTACGAGGATCTCGTATTTTCATACATAAGACGCAACTGGTCATAAAACTGCGTTGTTATATCTATAAAGGTTGCCTAAAATGTTCTCAGATTTCCCAACAGTTTTTCAGATTCCTTAAATACCTCTACCTTTTCCTTTAATACCTCTACAATTACTAAATAATTCTAAATAATTCTAAATAATTCTAAATAATTCTAAATAATTCTAAATAATTCTAAATAATTCTAAATAATTCTAAATAATTCTAAATAATTCTAAATAATTCTAAATAATTCTAAATAATTCTAAATAATTCTAAATAATTCTAAATAATTCTAAATAATTCTAAATAATTCTAAATAATTCTAAATAATTCTAAATAATTCTAAATAATTCTAAATAATTCTAAATAATTCTAAATAATTCTAAATAATTCTAAATAATTCTAAATAATTCTAAATAATTCTAAATAATTCTAAATAATTCTAAATAATTCTAAATAATTCTAAATAATTCTAAATAATTCTAACTAATTCTAACTAATTCTAACTAATTCTAAATAATTCTAAATAATTCTAAATAATTCAAAAGGTTCTGAATATTATTTCTGAATGTTTCGAAATATTCGAAATATTTCAATTAATATTTTCTTTTAATTTTTGAATCATAATTCCGTACCTAAAACACAACTGGTCGCGCGCTAGCGCGACCGACACTTGTATATATATATCTAGATTTATAAATCGCTACGTCTTTATTCCAAGAAAATCAACTCGTAATTCCGGATTAAACTTTTAAAGTTGCTATAATTTTTAAAAAATAGTGTATGATACGTACAGTCCTACAAAGTGGTTTTGAGAAAAGGTTGTTTAGTCTGAGATTCAGGAAAAATTTTTGAAATTTAGTACTATGACATTGTAGAATGTTTGAAAGTTCTGGAAAGGTCAACAATAGCAGAAAATTTCATTTTATATAATTATACATTACGAATTCAAAGTACTTAGCAACTCGCAAGATGATAATAATAATAATTAAGCGGTAAATGTTGATGTCCATAAGTACGGGACTTCATTAATCGCGAAGGCATCACAAATCCACAACCATATTTTAAAATTTTTGAATATTTCTAAACATTTCGGGATAATATATTTGCAAAGGCGCTGTTTGGGAATAATATCTGAAATACCTCAAAAATTTGGAATTCCATAATTTAAAAAATTTCTTAAAATTTCAAAATGTTTTAAAAGCTGGCCCCGCGCAGCGGTGCCAACACCTGCATATTTTAGCATTTCTGCGTTTAAAAAAATTTTAAATTGATATTTGATAAAGGACTTTATTACAGTAATACAGCGGCAGTAATTACAGTCAGCTGCAGTAATTACAATAATATTTACGACACATTTTCACAAAACAGGCGATATATTTCCACATTCTTAATTTTTAAATCGAAACCCCATACCTTAAACTCAATTGGGCGCGCGCTAGCGCGACCAACACTTGTCTTTATCTTAAGAGTTATGCACTATTACGTCTTTTTACTTTTGTAATTTCAAAACTAATTTAAGACTCCTACATTCTAGCTCCAAATTTTATTAAAAATTCAGACACGTGTCAGAAAAGATTCATTTGCAGTTTTAAAAAATGTTCAGTCTTGCAAACAGTTCCTAAAAATCTTTAAAGTTTTCGCAGTAATTAAGCAGTACTTTCCAAAAGCTCCTAGAAATTTCCCTTAGAATAACTTAAGGTTTTTACAGATATGGATCGCATGCTCAGCTTAGCAACTGCTTCGTTTCTACAAAACTTTGTTCTAAAAGTTGCAAAAATAGAAGCCAGTCATCCGTGTTCCTGTATTACAGCTGGTGCACTTATTTCACCGACCCAACGGTACTCGTACAGTAATTTTGTTGGAAGCTTGGCACGTTTGCACGCGCATGTCAACTTTTTTCTCAGCCAACCCATCTCTTATTTAAAAGTTTGCAGATTATTAATTTCTATATTGAAATTTGTGGACGAACAAAGGTCACGTCTGAAAGAAATTCAAAAATTTTTGTCCGAGGAATCTGTGAAACTTTGATTTCTGTTGATTTATTTAAGTAATGTTTGCCTTACCACTAACTCGTTAATTTGGAATCTTTATTTGGAACTGGAATTTTGGCACTCTAAAATCTTAAACACCTCCAATTTCCTAAGCGGGGTGCGAATACCTCTATATTTCGCTTCCACGTTTGAAAGAAATTTTTTGACAAAAAATTTAAAGAAATTCTTCGACGAACAAAATTCTTTGACGAACAAATCAAAGGTCAGGCTATTTGAAATCTCCGGAATTCTGCCAGAAAACTAATGCCAAAAATGGTTCGGTAAAATCTAACATAACTGTATACGCAAGTCTAAAAAACTTACTTTTTTATTAATATTAATATTAAAAGAGGTTAAAAATGCTAGCTCTGCGCAGCGGGGTCGCTAGTGCTGCCTGTATATTTTCGTAAATTTGTACACGTTCAAAACAGCTTTGAATATTTAAAAATGTTTTTAAAGGTGGGCTCGCCGAAAATTTTATGGAGTTAGAAAAACAAGTGGCAGAGCGCAAGGTTCCGGAAAAGTTGTGAATGGTATTTCGCAATTAACTTTAAGTTCTTGCAGCTTTGGAATTTTTTATTTAGAATGGCGGTATAAAAAATTCACAATTTTTCTATGAAATTAAAATTTTCGCTGAATACATAGCCTCAACCGACAGCAAAAATGGGCGGCCTAGTTATAGAGAAAATTTCATCTAAATTAGCCGATGCTGGTGCTATTCCCAAGACAGAGTCAGAAGCTGTTAAAACGCTTATTCCCTGACCATTTTAAGAGACTCAAATTTTTAAAAGCCATTAATTTCTGAAGGCAAAACTGTTCAAAAGTTATGAACACCTCCTCCATTACTTCAAACACAACTGGTCGCGCGCTAGCGCGACCGCTACCTTGTCTTTATCGTTATATCTTTATCTTTATATTCATACAAGCTTACCGACCAAAGCGTATTTATGCGCCGTTTTTAACTCCTCGATAACTCGTGGTTATCGAGAGGAGTTAAAATGGCTAACTCGTTAAAACGGATAACTCGTTAAAACGGTTAACTCGTTAAAACGGATAACTCGTTATCGAGGAGTTAAAAACGGCGCATAAATACGGATAACTCGGATAACTCGTTAAAACTAACTCGGATAACTCGTTATTCGGATAACTCGTTAAAACGGATAACGCGTTATCGAGGAGTTAAAAACGGCGCATAAATACGCTTTGGTCGGTAAGCTTGTATTCATACAAGCTTACCGACCAAAGCGTATTTATGCGCCGTTTTTAACTCCTCGATAACGCGCGGTCACTTTAAGTCCAGCTTGGTCTTAAAAAATTCCATATTTTCCATAGGGGTACGAGGCAAGCGACTAGGACTGGCTCAATCCGTACCAAGATCATGTTGCGCAGCGCGTTGCGGCTCCGACAACATTATCCGCCGCAACAAGACGGCAGTACTACTCTTCGTAGCGTCCGACAAAGCATCTGCAAACGCCGCAACGTGCCGCATCAGCTGCAACACGGCTTATAAGCCGCAACGAGCAGCAACGGGCCGCAACAGTGCTAGCCCGTATGCTGCACTGGGCTGCTGCAACGCCGCAACAGCCGCAACACGGCTTATAAGCCGCAACGTGCAGCAACGGGCCCGTTGCTGCGTGTCGCGGCTTATAAGCCGTGTCGCGGCTGTTGCGGCGTCGCGGCAGCCCAGTGCCAGCACACACGCTAGCGCTGTTGCGGCCCGTTGCTGCGTGTCGCGGCTTATAAGCCGTGTCGCGGCTGTTGCGGCGTCGCGGCAGCCCAGTGCCAGCACTGTTGCGGCCCGTTGCTGCGTGTCGCGGCTTATAAGCCGTGTCGCGGCTGTTGCGGCGTCGCGGCAGCCCAGTGCCAGCACTGTTGCGGCCCGTTGCGGCGTGTCGCGGCTTATAAGCCGTGTCGCGGCTGTTGCGGCGTCGCGGCAGCCCAGTACCAGCACTGTTGCGGCCCGTTGCGGCGTGTCGCGGCATATAAGCCGTGTCGCGGCTGTTGCGGCGTCGCGGCAGCCCAGTGATACGCCAACACTGTTGCGGCTTGTCGCGGCATATAAGCCGTGTCGCGGCTGTTGCGGCGTCGCGGCAGCCCAGTGCCAGCACCACGCTAGCACTGTTGCGGCCCGTTGCTGCGTGTCGCGGCTTATAAGCCGTGTCGCGGCTGTTGCGGCGATGCAGTCTAGCAGCATACGGGCTAGCACTGTTGCGGCCCGTTGCTGCTCGTTGCGGCTTATAAGCCGTGTCGCGGTTGTTGCGGCGTCGCGGCAGCCCAGTGCCAGCACACACGCTAGCACTGTTGCGGCCCGTTGCTGCGTGTCGCGGCTTATAAGCCGTGTCGCGGCTGTTGCGGCGTTGCAGCAGCCCAGTGCAGCATACGGGCTAGCACTGTTGCGGCCCGTTGCTGCTCGTTGCGGCTTATAAGCCGTGTCGCGGTTGTTGCGGCGTCGCGGCAGCCCAGTGCCAGCACACACGCTAGCACTGTTGCGGCCCGTTGCTGCACGTTGCGGCTTATAAGCCGTGTTGCGGCTGTTGCGGCGTTGCAGCAACCCAGTGCAACACAAGGTCTAGCACTGTTGCGGCCCGTTGCTGCACGTTGCGGCTTATAAGCCGTGTTGCGGCTGTTGCGGCGTTGCAGCAACCCAGTGCAACACAAGGTCTAGCTAGCACTGTTGCGACCCGTTGCTGCACGTTGCGGCTTATAAGCCGTGTTGCGCTGTTGCGCCGTTGCGTCCTGTGTGTACGGTATGCTGAACTTTCTGCAACGAACGGATGCGCAACGCGAATCTTGGTCCGCAACGCGACAGTGACGTTAAAATCCAATGTTGGTACAGATTGAGCCACTTCTGTACCAGGTTGCTCGAGGTTCGGTCGTATCTTTGTCTGCTATAAACAGATCTGTTTGCCCTTTTCGGTCTATCTATATTCTATAAGTATTACATATTGCGTAATGATTTGGATTATCCTAATAACTATCCTTTATTTACTTTTCGGGATGGTACATTTCTTTATCGTTCTCGCTTCGCCGGCATGTTGAAGGCGCTTTTTCACGGTATTTCTACACTTGGCTGTATTACTCCACATAGCTTCCGTATCGGAGCTCCGACTACGGCTGCGAACTGTTACCAGTCGGATATCTCTATTAAGCTCCGGTCGGTGGAAGAGCGATGCGTATCAAGATTACATCCGTTCGACCAAGCCTGTTGACGGTTTGCGGCCCTATGGTTGATGGATTTGGGGGGTTGTTCGGGAAGTGTGTAATGGATCCGCTGCGTCGGTTACCTATTGTGGAGATGACCTACTAGATCCGCTGCGTCGGTTACATTGGTCATCGATACCATGCATTAACCCCCAAAGTTCCATGAAAGTCATTGCTGAGGTGCTCGCGGAGTCTGTCTTAACGTTACGTTTATTAAACCAATACGTTTTCGGTGAAGAGCGGAAACCCATGATTTATCCTACAACCCAGAGTGCATCACTTAAGAGAATACAAAACGAGACGTCAAAAATGAACAAAACTGAAAAGCTGAGCATGGCAAAATGATTTTTCCTACAAAGGAAGCAGCTCTTGATAACCAGCGATGACGAACCCGCGGTAAATTGTTAGCTGCTGGTTGCCTCGTTTTGCGGTGATACTGTTCCATCTTTTCCCTTGGTGTTGTGGCTTCGCACACTCTAAACGCCAAAGCCAGAATAAATAGTTAAATACCACAAACGCTATCCGCATTGTCAGCTTTCGGTCCTATACACGCCTCATACGCGGAAGAGTTCGTTAATGCCATAAATGGCCAGTTTGCTTAATTCGGATACATCCAGCAGCCGCAGATCCACATTGTCCCACATCTGCAGCGCGCCATCCGGGTGGAAACCACTAAACCTGCAACACATAAGAGCCTGCAGATCTCGTTGCAAGCACTTGACTCTTACGGGCCTACGGCGTTGTGATAATATACAATCTGACGATCTGGGTAGCTGCTAGATGTACAGTACTGCAGAAAACGCACGTGGGCGATACTGTTCGGGTTTGTCGTGTTGTTTCTTTAGCAACTGTTATTTCCAGTTGGTCTTCGCCTAGATTTGATTCCTGTTTTTGGAGTTGCGCTGCGATTCTGCCCAGCAGCGATACAGTAGTAACAGTACTTCTTACAACTGTCAAACAGATACCGTAGCCGTTGGACGAAGTGGCGCCAGTGTAGAAGGCAGCGCTATGTAAGGTACTGATACGTTACAGGCGCTCTCTGCTATTCACATCACCTCACGAAGAGCAACACCCGTACAGCAACAATAGCCGTATAGCGTTATGCTTATGGGTGGGGTACGCACTGTGCATTCACACAACACCATCTTCAGGACCAATGTACACTTACAAGCATATATAGTTGCGTATGGATTCCCACTGTTCGGGATAGTCCAGAGTGCGCACCCACCGCGCATGCACAGCCGTGACCTTTGCCAGCATTTCTCCAGTGACCGGCGGGAAGTTTTCGTTGAGGGCGTGCATAAAGCGCGCAGCCATGCGCGTTCGCCCTTCGCTGCAGCGCATCAGCAGCCGCGGAATGCTGATCTGCAGTTTGTCAATGTCCATTTCGCGCGACTCGAAAGTGAGATGCCGCATCAGTTCTTGCTCATTTGCATGCAGCGGATTGGCGGCCAGCTCTTGCGGCCCATACTGCTTACACTCGAATGCATAGTGCATTGTCGGTCCAAACAGATCGCCGACGGTCCAGTTGAACAGCACAATTGCCTGACAGACGTCTTTGTACGCCATCGCAAGTAGTGCGGCCGGATGTTTCAGAGGTTTTAGGGATGGACGTGGGATGTTCTCCGGCTTGCGGCTAATGTGGTCTTTGCAAACTATTAATGGCAGCCGGATTCGCATGCCTCTCAGCCACGTTAACAAGAAACCGATGTTACCGGGAGACGGGAATCGCAAAACGGTCAAGCTGGTGGTGGCGGAAGTGATGGAGCGGCTCATGAGAGTGGCCGCCTTGAAGCAGTTGTCGCTGTCCGATTGCAGCTGCCAACAGCTTTCAAAGGTCATGCTGACGTTCTCCGTCATGCGGGGACTATCCAACAGCTGCTGCCACAAGGCGCACACTCTGTCGCAATAATAACCGGCGTGAGGCGACACTTACTCGTGAATTATCAAATCGCTCTTACCGTTTGGCGCGCATTTGGGAGTGCACGTCCAGATGGGCCAGAATATCGCTCAGGAGCGACGGCGTCAGCTGATGATTGGTTCGCAATGTATCACCCTCTAAACCTGAGGCAAGACGACAGGTTAGTGAGACATCCGTTAACAGCTGTTGCCCAATCTATACTTAACGGCAGGCTACTAACCGGCTTCCTGTGGGAGGGCTCTTCGAGATCCAATTGATGGGAGGTCAACCCGGCTGCTTAAATGTGTCTGCAGCACACTGGCCAACGTGACTTCCGGAGCCAGGGCAGCCGGCGCGTTCCATGCGCGACGCGCGTTCCACGTGCGACTGGCCAGAATAAACATGCACCCATCTGGCTGCACACGCAGGAAAAAGCGGCACTGGTACACTGTGGTCACCGCTATCCCGAGTGGTGGTTTAACAGCGTCGCGCAGGTGCTTGATGATGCGGAATTTATCGGAGGCGTCGCGCAGAACATTGTGGGCCTCCGGAAAGGGAATAAAGTGTTTGGTGTAGAGGAGACCGCTTGGTCTCTTCAACAGAGGCGGACCCCGAGGCGGCAAAAAACCGGTAACTTGGGCTTTGTCGACAATTTCACAATTAACCGTTGGCATGGCTTCGTCACAGTTGCCGCAGTCGGATGGCAACTGCGTTATGATGTTGAACAAGTCGCAAGAGGCGTAACAACCAACCAGGTGACTCAGCCATGAAGCGGGTCGGAAGCGGAACGGACCGTTATCTTCGTCACGCAAGGCGACATAACATTCACGGCTGTCTTTGTCATCGTCGTCTTTGTCGCTAATTGCTAGGCTCTCCCAGTAGTATGGCAACGTCCAGACACTGCCCATGTGGATCCAGCGCTCCGTGACCTGCGTCGAGTCAAAGTGAATAAGGGCGCGTTCGCCGTCCATGTCTATGTCCTGAATGTATCCCAGCCACCAAGTGTCGTCTTCGTTCTTAACTGCCACCGTGTTCTGGTAGCTCATCCAGTTAGCACCCGTCAACAGCGGCCGATACCGTGGCATCGCGTTCTTAAATGTCGAATCCACCTTGAAAATGGTATAACGGCTTACAGTTACATGGAAAATATTTGTGTGAAGACATATCGAAAATTGTAACGAACTGTTTTGCGCGCCTACTTTTTACTGCTTAGTTTTTAATTAATGGTCCACCATCGGCATTTACATAGTTATGTGCTATTGCTATGTTTTGTCTGTAAATGACAAGGCGAGTCTGGGCCTCCGGCGTCGGTTTGCAAACGTCGAATTGGTAGAAACTCAGATTCAGGACTTGATTTTAAAATTTCCGCAAAGCACATTCATGAGAGCTGGCACTTGCTTTCGCAAGATTTGCTTACACTCATACTGGAAATCCCATATTTATATTAAGAGTGGTCATTTTGCAATAATGGCATAAATCGGCCCCTGGTGTTAGTCTGCATTTGCGTAGTTTATGTAAAACATGATTGTTATTTGTGGGCGGCAGGTTCACTGTTCACTGAACCAAGAAGAAATATTACTGCTTTCATAAAGTTAATTATTAGAATAACTTTACTGTAACTGTGTTGAACATATTCGATCAACGGCTACTGTAACACTGTACAATACATAGTATCATATAAAATATATTACTGTACTATTATTATACTGAAATATTACTATTGTAATGTTGTTTTATTATTATGAAAGTGAAACCTCTGAAGTACATACACCTCCGTACAGAAATTTTCGTACGTAATCAGGGGTGAACGGAATTCGAATTAGCTACCCCCAGCCCCCTGGGGGGTAACTGTAGACTAGGGGCACTGATCCACTACGAAATGCTGTTTACATACTGCGCAATGGATGAACCCTTAAAAATACACGTACTTTATTGGTCTACATACAAAACTACATTAGTTTGTGTGCACGTACAGAGACAAGAGCAGTTCTCTCGCACACTTTCAACCGAAAAGATTATTAAAACCTAACTCAGGATATAAAAATCTAGTGACTGCGAGTAAGTTCTCTTTGTTCCTTTGGATTTTGACCACTTTCCCATAAGAAAGTTTAAAATCTTCATTTCAGAAACAACGGTGGTACGCATCCACGAGGTGACTGCGTGCAGTTAAATGCTTATGCGGTACGGAGAATAAGTGTACGTGTACGCAACGCTGAGGTGTACATCACGTAGAGGTTCCCCCCTGTACTTTAGTCTACGGCGTAATTCGGTACAGTATTTCTCGTACGTAATACATCGAGGGGTGTAACCAATTTCAGCTAGCACTTTCCCATAATTTGAAAATGAATTTTAAAGCTTCTGAAATTCATCTTAAAACTGGAAAAAAAGGTTCAAGAAGATCGGGTAATAACCAGAATTTTGGTACACAACAATGCATTTAAACTTTTCACCCCTTTTAGTTCGCCATATCTCAGCAACCGGATGTTGCGCGCGCAAACGGTTTGTGGAACAAAATGCATAAAAATCATTTAGCTTTCAACGACATAAAGTACAATGCTACAAGCCGAGCACAGATGAAAAAAAAATTTTAATTCTTGATTGTGCAGTATTGGCCGTAGTGGATTGATTGAATGTTATGTCGCTGCGTGAGCACAGATGAATATAGGCTCACGATTGATGGTAAATTTAATTCGTGTGAACTTTTACATGTACTGTAATGCAGCGTTGTCAGAATGAAAACATTGTATTAAATTTAGCGAGGGCACCGGGAACATTGCAGTAATCGTTTATGAAATTTGGCCTGTTAACAGGGCTTTCAGTGTAACGTTTACGGTATACTTGTGCTAGATTTCTGCGCTTATATCGATGCAAATGTGGACTCAGGTTGGTGCGTTCGATATTGGTAGAAACAGGTCGTTGAAATCTTAATACAACTTTAGGATCGGGACGTGTTCTCTGAACAGTAACTGAAGCACAGTGGTCGTAACCACTGTATGCTGTTTTCACTGTCATTTTGCATCGCATTTTGCTGTGCACCACTATGCCCGTAGTTACAAAGCAGTCCACGCTAGACCTATGACATCCATGGTAACAAGTGTTTGGGCGTAACAAAATAAAGTTAGCGAAGTACCAACAGTCCAGGAACACTCGCCGCAGCCTGAAGATTCTGCTGCACTTTAAATCAGCAAAATCGAGTGATTAGAAGCTGCGATCACTGGCCGGGAAGAAGAGGGGCCGAAATTCTGGCACAGATAATTAGTATCCTTATAATTACAAAAAAGTAATTCGGAGTGCGCAAAAACGAGTTTGGATGTACTTTGGATGTACCCAATTCTGACACCATGTACCGGCCATTTTCCTTACTCAAACTCTTGCGCCTTGCGCAATGCACATTTTGGGACTAAACCGTCAACCGACATCTCAAAAGAACAAGAAACTTTTTGATACCAAACAGGCTATTTTTTATGAGATCTGAGATAAAATCGACCCTCTTCAATTTGTCGCACGCAAAGCCTAAGATCTCAGGCTACGGCTACCGTGAAAGCTGATCAGTGAAGTTTAAATCAGCGCATATTCACCAAAATATGAGACTTATACCACCTAGTAGAATAAAATGTGTATATTTTAATAACTTTTTTATTTTCCGGTAAATATTACTAATTTTGTGTGTCTAATAATCAACCAAACCAAGTATGGAAAAACGTTCCGTGACGTCTACGCGCACACATCAAAGATGCCGCCCATCGCGCACCTGAGATACGGATCTTCTCGAATGCTGATCGCGGATATGCTGCATCGCATGGTTATCAGTTGGCAGATCATATCCGCGGATTCAGTGCGAGCTAAATTGCAGTCGGCTGTATCTTCCAAGCAGTGAACGGCGTAATTTTTATTTCTGGTTCTACGAACCAGAAAAACTGATGTTCAGAGAATTCTAGAATTAAAAACCATGAAGATAATAATGATGTGTCGGCGCCCTATGTATAACGAAAATTAGAGCGAATAAAAATTATTCTTTTATTGCTAACGCAGCTGCCGTACAGATCGGAGTGAAGATCGGTATCTCAGATGCGCGATGGGCGGCAATTCTGACGTGCGCGCGTAGACGTCACCGAACGTTCTCCCATAATTATTTACTTTCGACGATTACTAGTATAGAAGGTCGTAACCGCCCTTAATGCAAGCGAGCGAGCGTGTAAGAGTTTTTTCATACAAACCTGCGTTGGATAAAACATCAACAACAATAAACATGCGATGGTCTGTCTTACAGTTCCCAGTTGTATCATATGCTGAGAACATATCAGTAAGCTGTTTACGTCAGACGTGCTGTGCTAGGTCGGTCATGGCACCGACTTTTAGGATAAGACGATCGCATTGGTTTGTACACGCTTTTATCGGGCATAAATAGAGTATGAAGTCTGCTGCTGCTGCTGCTGTGAATTTTCAATGAGACTCCACAGCCAAACCCGATAAATGAACACATATAATTCCGGCAAGCCGCGAACTCTTCTGTTTATTATGGACCAAAGCGATTTAAACGGAGCGATTTTTTGTGCAGAAGTAGCGTTCACTATTTTTCAAATTAAACATGTTGAGGCTACCCGGTTAGAGCCGGCTTAGTGTGGTCAGCCCAAGATTCTGAGCCGTCTGTTCAACTTGTCGGTCACATCCAGCCGATAATCAAATGCTACACCTGGTGGAGTAAGGGATGGTACCGAAAGAGCAACAAGAAGCGCATAGCTTTCTTTAAAATACAATAAAGAAGAAGCAGTGTTCCACTCAGTAGGATGCGTTTCTGCTGTGACTGCTAGGGATAGGGAGAGCAGTCGGCCGTCACTGCGCGGAAAGCGTATACGTAAGCCAATCGAAAGGAAAAGTATGATTGACACAACCAAAAGAGATAAATCAAATAAAAGCAAAAAGATTAGGGTTAACGATAACTACTTATGGCGGAAAATGATAAGGTAACTGACAATTAAACAACATGAATAAACGAATGCAAAACCGACATTTCCTAAACTCGTTCGAGTCCCAGATTGTGGCATGCGAAAGCGACTGCGGCCAAACAGCAGTAGGTTTAAATTGTTTAGCGCGTAATGACACACAATTGTTTAGCGCGTAATGACACACGAAAGACTCAAAAAGGGAATTCGGTTACGATGATTAATAAATGTAAAAGCCAGATCCAAATGGATTTGTTTGGGAATGGCAGTTTGCATTGGACAGGGAATACATTCCTATTTGACACTTAATTTTTTGCGTTTAGTGGCGGGGTTATCTGGCTGCAGTGGTCGCTAGTTGAAGTATTTGGCTACAAGGGCTTCGCAACCCGTAAACGATCGCTAAATGGGTAGGTTGGCCTCCCTGAGTCAGCAGGCTGCAGCCTTATGTTACCAACCTGGTTAACATACCAAGGGTCTTCCAGGTAGACCTTGTTGTATTCTGTCTCTATCGAAGTGATGGGGATTTGCCGTCTCTTGGATCACGGATACCACGATAACGATATCCATTTCGTCGTGCCAAATCTGGCATTTTACCGTTCAGCCATGATAACTGGAGTCGTCCACACGGTGGCCATTATTTTTTTCCACCTCCATCCAATTTTCGAACAGCCTGAACTGCAATTCCCGCACATAAGAGCCCGTCATTGGTCGGACCTTCATTAAACCTTCATTGGTAGAACCTTCGCTTTCATGAGATGCTCTCTGCAACATTTTCCGCACGACGTGCTGGTATCTGGTTTTCCAGACAGGTGGGGGTACTGTATGGACCAGCAGATAGCCCTGTGTAAATCTTGGCGAGACATCTCGAGGGCGTGTGATACGGAGATCCCTTACTCCGAAAACGCCATGTGGAAGACTATCAGCTTATCTTACCGCTCGATTACTTCTCCTTTCAAGGGTTTTAGAAAGCCAGAGATAACCGCGTGATCCGCTTTGCTTTTTTCTCAACCGCCCCGGGGAATCCGGTATTTGAATCGTTTGGGGCACCCCTGAGGTGGAGCTGGTTCGGTTGGAACGCCGTTCCATTCTGTCTGGGGTTTTGTCTGCAGCGAGGCTTCAGCATCATGTCAAGGATTACAATTATTGGCGTTAGCCATTTGTGAAATTTGTGTGTCCATGTTCGGAATTTTTAGTCTACCTTGGTCGACTTCTCGAAAATAGCTTCCCAGATCACTTATCCACCAGTACTATAGAAGCTCGCTTGAGTTATACCACACAGTTGGTGCACGGGGAAAACGCGCAACAAATATACACGCACTGACCAGGCCAAATGCGTCAGAATCACCCAGGTTTTGCACTTCCCGACGGATGGCTGCATTGCTGCCATGTGCTGCGACTAAGTTTCGTGAAAGATGTAATCTTATTGTACAACTCCATTGACCAGTATGGGTCTTAAAACAGAGCGCAGCTTTTGCCAAAGCTCACTATCCGTTTGTGTCAATTGGCAAGGATCTGCATCCTGCGGCTCGATAATAAAACAATGCATTTGCTTCCGAAAATTTGTCCACTGATCTCTGCAAGTTTTGTCCAGCAGAATCTTCCGCTTTTTGACGAGACACTCGGCTGCTGCGGGTACGATAAGTGTTTAGAACGTCGTTATCGCACCCTAGGTAAGCGTAGCGTAACCTCTCGTGTTACCACGAGATCCGTAGTCAGGTGTAACGTTAATGGCAACAAACGGTCCGGAAAGTATGGTTACGTTAAAGACATTTGCCCTTCTCGGTGAAAACAAAGACCACACTGTCCCGTCGTACTTGCAGTCCCGGACGATAAGATCGCTGTTCAAGTACCGAGTTGCTCGGCTGAAGTTTCCCGGTCGAGCTGAGATCTGCCGGCTCCTTCACAGGATTCCAGTTACGACTTTGCTGCGAATGTTCTCTTGGTTCATTTAGACGGCGATTCTGCTGACACCTGCCACGACTCAGACAGAATTAACTTTGTCCAGTGCTTCAAGAGCGGGCTCAGCATAGCAGTGATCAAATGACCGTTCAGTCTTCGTTTGTTTATTATTTAATTTCCTGGTTCGTGTAACGCAAGTATTGTCAATTTTTCGAGTTTTGCTGGAGTCTCGACCACTCATTTCCGGGACTGGGCTTGGATTACCCTGTCGGACTGGGCATATCCTTTTATCGTCGGAGTGGGTGGCAGTTAAGAGTTGGCAACGGCGCAGTCGTAGTAGTTTGACCAGCAGGTGAGCCAACTTCGAATGAGCCTGCTGGATTCAAAAAATATAGCCGCAGCTGATGCAAGTTGAGTCGTCTAAGCCTACTTGGACTCCTAGCATACCGGGAACCAAGCCGATGCCTGTAAAAGGCTAGTGAATCAAAACAGCTTGAAGCTCACCCGCGGGTTCGTCAATAATACCCGGGTAGGTTTCCATGTGACGATTATTTCAAAACACAAAACGCTACCTAGGCCGGTCAAAATTTCCAGACCGGGTCAAAATTTACGGCCCCGCCATACTTTGGTACGGCAGGTTCGTCAAAATGCCCGGGTGGTTCTCTGTGACGGTTCTTCCAAAACACGCCACCTGGTCCGGTCAAATTTTCCGGACCGCGTCAAAATTTACGGCCCCGCCATACTTTAGTACGGCAGGTTCGTCAAAAATGCCCGGGTGGTTTTCTGTGTGACGGTTCTTCCAAAACACGCCACCTGGTCCGGTCAAAATTTCCGGACCGGGTCAAAATTTACGGCCCCGCCATACTTTAGTACGGCAGGTTCGTCAAAAATGCCCGGGTGGTTGCCCGTGTGACGGCTTCAAAACACGCCACCTGAGACGGTCAAAATTTCCGGACCGGGTCAAAATTTACGGCCCGACACACTTTAGTACAACGGGTTCGTCAAAAATGCCCGGGTGGTTCTCTGTGTGACGGTTCTTCCAAAACACGCCACCTGGGCCGGTCAAAATTTCCGGACCGGGTCAAAATTTACCCTCCTCCATACTTTAGTACGGGGGGTTCGTCAATAATGGCCCCTCCATACTTTAGTTCGCCCTTGGACCCCGGGGACTCAGCTCTTCGCGTGACGCACTAAACTTAAAAACGCTCGCTCGCTTCACTCGCTCGCTTGATTACACAAAAACAGTAATACTTACCGGAAAATAAAAAATTTGTTAAAAAAACTGCATATTTTATTCTACAGGATGATACAAGTCTCATATTTTGGTGAATATGCGCTGATTTCAACTTTATCTGTACTGGTGAGTGGCGTGTGCAAGACAGTACGTACGCACTACACAGTTGCAGAACAGATTGTTATCTACAGAGAGCGTAATTTATTTTTACGAGTTTGGATGCCATACACTGCGAGTACTGAGTGGTTTTCAACGGCTCACCACCATTTTGTTGACTGAAAGTTTATCGGCCGACGCAAAGTCGACCACACTAACCGTTACGAGGGTGACGGATAATAGCCAAAAAACCCAAGAAAATTAAGAAACCCGAGGAAAAACTAAGAAAACAGATGGGTTAGCTAAACGCTAGTTCTACGAAATAAATAGAAAAAAAAACGAAATAAATCAATTAAAAAACATATGTAAATAACAAAAAGATAAGAATACTTAACATAAGGAAACAGAAGAAAACATAACAAAGCAAGAAAAAAACATTGATAACATAAGAAAACAATAAAAACATGATGACATAAGAAACATGAAACATGCAGCATAAAAAAATATAAAACAATAACAAAAAAGACTTGAAAAAAATGAACAAACAAACAAAACATAAAAATAACATAAGAAACCAAAGAAAACCTGAGAAGAAATGGGAAACCTAAGAAAAAAACTCGAAAAACCGATGAAAATTAAACGTGCCCATTTTGTTCTGAGTGAATTGTCCGCGACCAGGCGTCCTGCGTTAAAATGTCGCTGAGGTAAATTGTCTCAGAATAACAAATATGTCCCGAACGAAAATGTCCTAGCGGCCGCATGTCCCGCGACGAATTGTCTTTGCGGTGAAATGACACACTCCCAGTTATACGGGTGCGCAAACATTACATGCCGCACGCGCTGCTTGTCCGGGCTCCCGCAGCGTTTTTAAAATCCTGGATAACTCTCTTACCATTGTAATAAGAAAACTTCCTCCCAAATTTCAAAAACATCCACCATCCGTTTGCCTTTAATGGTGAGGAACCCGCGCACACACCAAGGAGACCGAATTTGTCCAGCTGTAACATCAGGTTTCGCTTTTAAAAAAATTTCGGTAAAAATACCGGTGCTAACAAAACGTATGTGTTCGAGGACAACTTTCTAATATTATTATTAAAATTATTAACCATCAATAATAATTTATCACTTACCTATAAGATAAAAATAACTGCTAAAATACGTATTTAAACAGGTACCACACATACAACTGCGCTAACTACTAGCGTATATGTAATCTTACTTTATTATTATTTGAAAAATTAATGCCTGCTACTATTATAGAATTTAAGTGCACTACGTACTACCGTACTACTTCTCAGTAGCGTTTCCGGAGCCAGTCCCATCCTCCCATCCGATGTGCGAGACCTTTTTCCTCCAAACCGCTGACGTAATTTGGAAACGCTCCCGTATGCATTATGCACTGGTACAAGCTTGTCCGGTAATTTCTGCCTGTTCAATACAGCGAAATACACAATTTTGCTTGTTACGCCAAACTCTATGCTACGGCGCCCCACGCCACACTGCTTAACATGCATTTGGTTGGCTGGTGGCTAGGTGCACGGCAGATAATTTAGCGTTAATGAGAATAACAGTAGTTGGCTGCCGGAAGGTGGTTAGATAACGGTCGATGTAGTAGTAATATAACTGCGGAGCGCATTTAAAAAATCCGATCAGCAAGTGACGCGGCCATCATTTTAAGCGCAAATTTCGCGCTAGCTGTACCTGTACGACAAATTATCGGACAAGCTTAAACAAGCCGGTCCGCGAACAATATAAATTCATGGGTTACGCCAAACAACGTATTACACCACGCCACTCTGTTTAACACGTAACATGCGTTTGGCTGGCTAATGGCTTGGCGCACGCCATATATTTTAATGAGTATAATCCTAACTGCCTGGCGGAAGGTCGGTGCAGAAAGGGACAACCCACATGTGGAGCGCATTTACGCATTGTGGTAAACATAGTGTAGTGGCCATCATGCTGTCTGTGACCTTTTATCCATAACCACTCCTTCGGCATCCGGTTTTGCTCGAGCCAACACCGTTTTGTCCACTCTACGAAAGGTCACCAGAACACTGGGCAACATGGCTCGTCACGGTGTCGGAAACTGTAATGCAGTGAAAGGGATGTATTCGGCTTGCATTCCTGTAACGTGCAGCAAGTAACACTCAATTGGAACTTCATATTCTCACCTACAATCCCATCTCGAAACGTTTAGACCGCTGTACGCGAGATATTACAACATGTGGGCCCGAGCCATTTAGCCATTGCGGTACACCACGCTGCTGTTCGCTAACGTCACTGCAACGTGAAAGAGGTTGTCGCAGACAAAATCGAGCGATTATTGTGTGCTCTACGCCAGTGCATCCAGTGGTGAGTAAATAAAATCTAACTTTTCAGTGCGCTATTCCGTGTGTCGTATCTACAGCGGTCTAAAGGTTTAGAGATGGGCTCTTCGGTAATTTTTAGCATCTGCGTGTGTACGAGGAGCAGCTGGACGAGCTCGCTAGCGGGCTGCATTCATAAAGCCATAAAGCAAGATCTGCAGCAAGCAAGCAATATTCGTTGATAGCAAGCATAAAGCAAGACTCGTTTCCCTGCACCGCTGCAGTCACCGACCTCGAGTTTAACGTTACGGCAGCACATATGGTTAAATCGGGCGCGGTACCTAAACGCCACGTTCAGCCACAACTTCATGCTCCGGCCTCGTGAAGCCACCAGTACAGGGAAACGGTTTGAGTAGAATCGATGCCCTTCTTGTATGCATATTTACGTACTGTACAGACACACTTCAGATAGCGAAAAGGATAGATATATTGTACGGTAAAAAAGTATATTTTTTCTATATATACCAATATAATGTTGTAATATTTTTGTTGGTGGTTTGTTGCTTACCTGAGTTACGTCCTGTGCGCTGACTGCTGAGTGTTATCTCCATTTACTCGTCGCGCAACTGAATGGATCCTAGTACAGGTAATTTCACACGAGGGCCTTCGAGTACTCCGGTGACATCTCCCACCTCTATAAAGGCTATTAGAAATGAATCCATCCGGGCAGAACGCTGCGCAAAATGAAATACCAGGGTGAAGAAATACCAGGTACCAGGGTACCTGTCAGTTTCAAAGTTCACAAAAATTCAGTATCAGAATGCTATGGAAGTGCTTATAAAATTGCGGTCTCATGTATTAATGTTATGCAAAAAAGCTGGGACTATCTATCGCTCTAACTTTAATTTTAAGGGGTAGAACGGTGACAAAATGCTAGTAAATATTTAAAGACTAATCTGAGAGCATTTGACATTATTGGGAAAAGTGATTTAGAATTGACAGGATTGTTTGACGCAAAAGGCAATGGTGTAAGAATAAATTTATTTACTTACGTACTTCAGTACGCATTCTAACGAAGCAATACGCTCATACTACTCGGCGAGTACTCGCGTACCTTTTCTACGATAGTTTTTCGAATATCAGGTACTAATTAGTTGCCAGGAGATTTTCTACAATGAGAACACAGTAAGTACTATACAGTAAGTACATAAATCATGATAAAATTTACTAGTACGGTGAAAGATTTTGCAAAACCGCCAAGTATCAGCAATAATCGGTAAAAACTTGTACGTACCAACGCTGGATTCCGGAACAGATGTTACAAATTAAGTATTGTAAAGACGCTGCATCAAACCCAGCGAGGAGCTCACCATAGTAATCCCGGAAGTACGGCTGCTCACTTTCGATTTGTAGTAACTGTACGTAGAGAATGTGCACATCCCAAGCCACTGTCGAACTCACAACATCGTTTAATGTACGAGTACAGATACACACCATAATATTTACGTTCTTCTTCAAGTATTGCCTGTTCCATAACTTAAAGAACAAAAAAATTTCCGCTGACAGCACGCACAAAGAACAAGAACTTGTTGTTCTCAAATGCTGCTGAAAACGGAAACTTTTTAATTACGGTAATAGGTTACTTATCTGTTATCAGTTCTAAGCAATTCCCAGTACTAACAATATTATCGTAACACCAACAAATTGGTACTGTCTTTAACCGCATGCAAATCAGCAAAACGAAAAGATACGTAGTCAAACAACACCTAATAATTACTTATATGAACACTTCCTAATTGGGACTCATAATGACTGTACAAATAAAAATTTACACGCTCTAGAAATACGTAATTTTTTCAGCAGAACAGCTCTTGATCTTTAACCCCGACTAATAATTATCGAATTTTAAACATATAAATTTATTGCCGAATGAAGCGGGGCCATCTGTGCTTACTGTTAGGTTGGACAAATTCGGACTTCTTGGTGTGTGGGCCGCAGTGGGTCTGCGGAGAGTGCGTTTTTTAATTATTAAGTAGTAAGTACTTCAACTTTTATGCTACTGCCCACGTACACTTCCATACTACCGTAGTAGGGTTGCCTGTTCTAGCCAATGGCAATTGCTAAAACGCGCTATTTATATTTCTATTGATGTATGCGTAGCTTCTATGCATACAAGTAACATTGGCTTAGACCTCTTGCAGTGGAAACGGGAACCATCCAGGATTCAAAAATCATAGTTTTGTTATTACAATAGTGAGGGGGTGCTTGAGAGGGAAAAATGGCATACCGATCACTGGAAAAGGAATTATTCCAGATTTTCAGAAAAACAACTTACATGTCCGAGTAACCAAGTTTCCAAGAAAAAGAAATCAAAAAATACTCCCCGAAGGCAGATCTGCCGTCTACGCTAAGCTGAACAATTAAATAATGCTTCATTTCGTGATACTGCAAACTTTGATGCACTTGTACTAGTTCCAGTAGAAAACATTAAAAAGTACTGACTACGGAAAGGAGATACCATGGGTCTAGAAAGTTCGGGCACTGTGGATTGGAAAGCACGCAATACCGCGGTATCGGCCGCTATTAGCGATCGGATGGGCTATCAGAACACGGTCGCTGTTCGCAATGCTCATGACATTTTGTGGCTGGGATACATTCATTACGCGGACACCAACCACCCACTTACCCCCTTTGACTCCATAAAGGCCACGACGCGTCGAATTCGGGAAGTATCTGGCCGTTGCCGTTCTACTGGGAGATCGGTGCACATTCGCAACACTGATGAATTTTGATCGCAGCACAATAACAACACAACACAACACAACACAACACAACACAACACAACACAACACAACACTGAAATTTGAGGACGATCGCAGGCCGTTCGGCGTTCCGCTCTTACGCGCTACGTTACCTGAACGGTCGTGATGGACACCTGTGGAATGTTCGACGGGACCAACGCCACTGCCCGGATGGCGGCTGCTGTCTGCAAGCCGCACGGTCTCTATAACCTAGACCATAATGCCACTTGTTCCGAACTGGTCGATAAAGGCCCAGTTACCGGGCTTTGGCGCCACCCCCGGATCCGCCACTGCTGAAGCGTCACAGCGGTCGGTTGCACATCGTACAACACTTCATCACTTTTGGAGGAGCGCAGCATGTTCTCGAGGATGCCTCCCACAAATTACACACCATCAAGGCTTTTTGCGGCACTTTCTGGACATCACGCGAATGGCATGCAGCCTGTCTGTTTAACCGCTGTCGCTCTCACCTTCGTGTTGAACAGCATGGTTGAATGTTTGTTTTCGACAGTTTTACAAGGAAGGTGAAGATAGCGCTGGCGATGGACACGGTTTCGGCCACAGTGCTGCAGACACATTTAGCCAGCTGGGTGGATGTGCCCTGCGCACCCGGACAATTGGGAGTGTGACATTTCGTCGCAATTAAAATCCATGCACGACTTTTCGCGGACATTTCGACGCTGGGAGACGTCGTTTGGAACAATTTGCACTGAGACATTTTGACGCAAGACGTCTGGTCGCAGACACTTCGCCGCAAAACGAATTTTGCACGCTCAGTTTTCGGGGGTTTTCCGGATTTCTTGGAAGGTTTTCTTAGGTTTTTTAGGCTTCTTAGGTTATTCTTAGGTTAGTCTTAAGTTATTTTCTTGACCTTGCGTCGGAATGTCTGCGACTAGTCCTCGGCGAAATGTCGCGGTGCTATCTGCCGACCATTCGGTACCGCGGCATCCGTCTACAGGAAGTCAGTTAATGGCCTGGCGTAAGCTATTCTTCTACGCTTATTTTGTTCGTAATCAGTATGGTTTGCTGTCAACGTTTGGAAAGCCACGTTGAGCGGCCGACGGCGCGAAGGGACTAACTAACTGCCGCCGTGGCGGTTAAACGACATCGTGTCGCATCTGGGCGTGCAAATAAGGTCCACACGACAAGAGACAATATATTTTATTAATCTGGCGTGTGTTTGTAGTCTGTTGAGCTTTAGGCCGTGTTGCAATATGGTATGCGCATTGTTACCTGCTGTTGAATAAACCCCGCCCGGCGGAAGCGTCCGGTCGCGGATTTACGGTATTCAAAGACGCGCTAGTTCGAAACCGGACCACATACTCGGCGTGTCCGCCCATCCCTAGCGCCTCTAAAACACTCGGCAGCGCTCGTTGCATTTGGTGCATAAGCGAGACTGTGCAGTTGGACAGTCGGCGACCTATCTGACCCGATAATGCACTATGCATTCGCGTGAGATCTGTAGCAACCGCGTAATCTGAACGCGCATCTGTTGTATGATGCGGCATCTCACCTCTGAGTCGCACGCGCTGGGCAATGGACATTGACAAATTACAGATCAGCATTCCGCGGTTACTTGTGCGCTGCAGCGAAGGCAAAACGCGCCTGACTGCCCCTTCAAGCACGTTATCAACGACAACTTCCCGCCGATTACAAAGGAGACGCGGGCAAAGGTCACGGCTGTCTGTGCACAGCCTGGCAATCCCGAATATCTGGAGGCGATTCGCAATCAAATTAATTTTTCTGTGTGTTTAATGTTGGCGGCCGCTGGATTTATCCCATCTGAGCAACCTGGCCATCTGCGGTATCTGCAAAGCATTCCACAAGTAAAGCACTTATATCAACGTCTCCAAATGTTAATATTGTACGAGGCAGTTCTCCTAGAAACAAGTATTTGGAAAAACTTACAAAAAATAAAATGCTCAGAGAAGATAGAGACAACTCTGCTTTACCAATGGGCAAATTAGTTTTCCGTATTTTTCAGAAAGATAACCCGACGGAAAAAGATTCCACCGACTCTCTAATCGCACGCCCTATGGTACTGCCGGCAGCAATGTCTATGGTACTGCCGAGAGGCCGACTGACTGCCCATGTAACAGCGGTTATAATTATAGACAATCACATGTTGCCCGATATCCATGTGACCTTTCACATAACAGACACTGTCGATGGTATATTTTGTGTTGATTGTTGAAAAGGTAATCTTGTCAGTAATCTCTATAAAATGCGACATTAAATTCATCAGGTGTCGCGGGTTTACATAATATTTAAGTACTTTTCCACGTCACGGCAAAATGGCATGATGGACTACAATCTCACGCGTTCCTATTAGTCCACATACAGGAATGCCGGCCAGGTTTTGCTGTTGGATAAAATAAAAATGTTTCCGTACTTCGTATTGCTTTGATCTTTCTACTTTTCGAGTACAAACTTTAATTGCGGATCTAGTAGTGTTAAAGTTAAGATTATCAGTGGTGTGGCAAGTAAGTAGCTAGGCCGCGGGACTCAGGGGGCGGGTGGTCGTAAATTTTCAAACGCTTATAATAGTATCTCTGTTAAATCCAATAGTAGATGTTTTTGAACGGAGACTTTTGAAAACTAGTAAATAACCCGGAAGGCATCCCTTAGGAGCCACAAGAAGGGTGTTGCGCGAGCATTGGTCGAAGTAACATCGAAACAAGGCGTATTTTTCGTAGGCCTCTATGAGGCCGCGGATTGCGGTTGCCAGATGTTAGTGTAATTGTAAAAACAAAAGTTAGGAAAGGCATGTGAGAAACTACGCTTGATGTGATAATTCTCAGACTCTTTCAGTTTTTAAATTATTGTCGAATAAATATGTTGTTTTTTAGTAAGCAACATATTTATGTTAGGTGATTTTGCATAAAAACTCAAATGAAAATTCGGTCACCGTTCCATGTACTTTGGGTTTTCGCACATAGACAAAATTATTAAAGGTGCCACAGACCAAGCTGTACAATCACGCAAACGCTAAATAAAAATTTTAGATTTTGTTGGTAGCGGCAGAGAAATGCTTTGAACTGCCCCAAAATCTTCGCCGGGGCCGTACCTGTACTAGCAAATCATAGTGACGCACCCACCTGCTACATCCACGTTTTTATCGACGCTCCTTCGTCATCCAGCGAAAAATTGGAGCCATACAAGATGGCATGGCGCGGGTGCTAATACAGATACAGGCAGTATAGGGTTTGTTAATTGTAACTCAATACACTTTACGTATTCGTACCCGTACGACG